GAAATTTTTTTTTTTTTGTTTTTTTTTTGGGCCTTTTACCCCCCCCCCCCCCCCCCCCCCCCCCAGTGTTTACCATCGGGGTTTGGGTTTTCGTCGCTTGGCAACGACGTTGTAAAACAAGCCCCCCGCTCGGTGTTTGCCATCGGGATTGGGTTTTCGTCGCTTGGCAACGACGTTGTGAAAGAAGCCAATTCACTTCGTGAACTCGGCAACCAGGTTACCTTTTTTTTTTTTTACGTCGGTTTTTTTTTTGGCGGTAACCATAATGGTGGTCGAGTAGATCATGTTGTGCGGGGTCGAGAACCCTCACTCCGCGCAACGGGGGATGATCGCACCACGTTGTGTTAATATTGGTCAAGCACCCTCGAGGCAGTTACACAGTGCTTACAACTGTCTCTGGAAGTGAAAGCACCAGAAAATAAATTAAGTCATACGTAGCTGTCATCCGCACGCAAGGAAGTAAGCACAAGATGCCGAACACCCTTAGCAGGATGCAGCTCACCCTTCATGCGACTCGCCAAATACCTCACCCCCCCCCCTACGCACGCAAGGCCTACGCACGCAAGGAGAAGATGCGTTATGCCGTAAACTCTCATCCCCCTGCCTTTCAGCCGAATCACGAATAATGTCCCCGGCGCTCGCGCTCTCTGTCGTTGTTGTCAAGGCCTACCGAGGAGTTGTGAGTGGCATGCGCGGCGAGGACACCATATTCCAGTCGTTCATCGCCTTCGTCGGCATGTCTTGGTGGGTGCCGCACTTACGGTAACGGCTCGACAACCGGAGCAGATCCTAGCGTCAGTTTCGTGTGTGTGATACGTGTCTGCTCGTTAATGTTTACGACGCCAACTTTCGGCGCCAAGAGCACCCTCCTCAGGGTGTTTGAAAGGGAAGAGAGTAGTACCGCAGGCCCTACGCTTATGTAGCAGAACTTTTATGTGGTTTCTCATTCGTGTTGGTAGGCGAACAACCGCGGGTTCGAGGTATGACCCCGTAGAACAACGGGAGCCCGTAAGCTCTGCTGAAGGAATGACCTATGGAGCCCACCACAGATGATTGGACGTGCAACGCGGAGGGTCTCTCTGTGTTGCCTACCCAATCGGAGATCCTGCGCGAGAATGGCATGACAGGACGGCGTGAAGAAAAGTGGGCGTGGAATTTGCTGGATGAACGTGACAAGTCGAAAATACAAAACGGTAGAAAGCTCCCAATGTAGCCGACATACCCCCGTTCATATCTTGCGAAGACGTGTTTACCCATGGCTACGCCCTCACGCACACCCATGCAGACCTGTACGTTGTTCCACCATCCTCACGCCATAGTGCCATGTTTGCGGCGCCCACGTCGGGATCACTTTCATCCCCGTATCTTTGTGAGACACGTGGTGATTTCCGCGCGAGGGCCACGTACAAGCGACGTTAGCGTACGCACCGTGAACGAGCTGTCCTCCCCGTCGACGGCAGGTGTTCGTTGAAAACAAGAATACGCTGGGCCACCGCCTGCATGCGGTGGCGTCTGGGTGGATGGAGAAACACGTCGCCTCAGGACAGGCCTAGGCGTCCGTCGCTCAAGATGTTCCTGCAGGGCTCTACCGGGGTATGCGGGGTGGATGGGCGGCCCGTGGTGATGGTCCGGAGACCTCCAGGGAGCTCGACGATAGTGGGAAGGCAGCTGTCGTTCAACTGCCCGCGGTACATAACGGTGGGTTGGATATGACGCGGTCGGGAGACGAGGGTGGGATTTGTTCGAAGGTGCCGTTCACCAGACCCTGGAAGACGTCATTAACCGCCGTGTCTGATATTCACGGCAGCGAAGTTGACAATCGGGCAATCCTCGGGCATGCAATTGTTTTGCATGTTTGGTGTGTTTTGTCAATCCCGATCGGCGGGGGAGGGGGTTCGCGTGACGTCAATGTGATTGCCCCAATCCCAAAATCTCGAGGCGGCGGTGGCTGATCGTGGTTGCTGCCAAGCGTTTAGTGTCGCTCAAGTCCAGTCACCGCCAGTGTCGGTGGAAGCACGAACCTGTTCTACGTCAGGAGAAGAAGTTCGAAACGCACCCTGGCGTCCATCGACAACGGAGGAAATAATTATCGGAAGGCGCAAGCAAAATGAGCTGTTATTCCACTGCATATCGAACATTGTTTCGGGCGCTGTCCATCTGGTCAGTATTCCTTGCTCAGCTTGCCAGTGGGAACGACTTGTATCCCGCACATCGATACCGAAAAGGAGAGGAAGGTTCTAAACATTAGTAGGAGGAGCAAGACAGCAATATAACGTTGTACTGAATACCAGACGACGACTCAAACGGCGCTCGTGGTTCTGAACAATGGACTAAACCCAAGTTTGTTGCTGCCTATGCGAGTGTTATGGTTTACCAGTCGTGTAATTCAGCTCTTGGCAGCGGTTGTGCACCCCTGTTCACGTCTACCAGCGATTGTTTTTTTTGCCGCTGCTGGCCGCAATCCCACCAACGACCTACCTGAACAAGCCAGGATGTTCAACGCGTCTGCCCAACGAAGACGGCTCCACCTCCTTCCCTACAGCACACCCCAATCATGAGTACCGCGTTCCCGCTCGTATATCCGCGTTAACAAGGTGACCGAAATGCAGGCACTGATCGAAGCCACTCCGGTCCCGGCTCGCGTGGCCGACCGGTTGGTGAGGAAGATCGTCCACGATTGGGTCTTCCAAAGCGCCGAACGGATCACCGGAGGCGTTTTTCAGTCACCGTCGTCCTCGGGGGAGTACGGCAACGGCACCGGTGGGAGCAACGGCGGCGTAACGGTAGCGAGCACCAGGAGAACGTCCAGTAGTGACTCGTCACGGCCAATGCTGCGGCGGTGGTCGTCGTCCACCGCCTCCCGATAGTGTAAGGGGGGCGTTTCGTTTTGCAGGGTATCCCTAGACTACGGCGTGGACAGGGTCGTGTCGGGATATCCTCACACGGGACGGGGGTCAGATGTAAGTTTCATCGCCGGGTGTTGCCGCGTGTTGACTTTTTAAGCGGCCATCCAACACCTCTGCATGATGTACTTTTGGAAGGTGTTGGGCGTGGCGACAGCGTGTGGTTCGGCACGTTGTGTGTGCCAGGCTATGTGGTGAAGGAGATGGACGCGTAGCCCACTCGGTGTGTACAGGTTTTCAACGATTATTTCTCCGCAAGACGCTTTATTCTGTATTTTTTACTCGTCCGTTCTCCCGTCCAATCCTTAGAGTATCGCGCACCTGTCGCGTTTTAGATATCTCCATCTCTGTTACATGTGTGTTGTATATCGTCCTGTTGAGAGAGGGTGTTTCGCATATGAAGCGTTGGAGCTTTATGGTAGTTGAGGGCGTCCTACGAGTGGGGGGAGACCACCTGTTTCTCCCCCATACAAGTTGTGTTTTTGTTACTGCGATGCGTCCGTTCCCGATGTTTAGATTATCCCGGCGCATTGCAACGACGAACAAACGGCAACAGAGTTCAAACGGGGCGGTGGTTGATCCCCGGGATTTCGGCAAAATTTTGAATTTTTTTAGAGCTCTTTTGATCACCTGTGTCTCGTATGACTTATTTGATTAGGACACCATACCAAATGTGTCCTTCGTCTCGAGCCCCTTGCGTATCTGTATCGCCGGCGTGTGCAAGATTCGGATACCACCAATATCAAGCATTTGAGGTGGTTCGCGTGAGATATTGCGGTACATGTAGTCGTTGTCAATTGCGGGTTACAGTAGTGATGACGTCGACTTTTCATTGTGTTTGCTTGGTGGAACCGCTATGGGTTTCGTCTCCGGAAGAGAATATAAATGTTCGCCCAGGCCGCTATAATCAATCGTGCGTTATTTGTGACGCTGTGACAAAGTATCGGTGCGTTCGGCGCTCCTGCCTCCCTATTGCCGCCCATATTGACCCATCCACAAGCAAGTCCAGGCACGTCCGCGAACGTTTCCAAGGGCAATTCAGGCAACTCCGAAACGCCTGAACGTTCCCACCGTTCCCTAGTGGGGACCATAGGATGTGGCTGGGCCTGAGTTCACGGACACTCCCGACACACAGAACGAAGTTGCGGAGTGGGTGTTGTTTCCGGCAAGCCTGAAAAACCTGCCGGGGCTTTGTTGCCACTCTTGCTCCTACACTTGATTTGTCTACGCTCCTACCACAGGCGACGATCTGTTTCGTGAAGGATGCTCTGTGGGGAGTTTTGAGTTTTTATGTTTTTGTCTTTGACGACGTCTGCCAAACCCAGGGATCCCCACGGACACGCGTCACGGTGAATCGCTGAACTTCTCGCAGGCCCATGGGATGGGACATCCATATTGGGTTCTTCGAATACCTGGCGGACCAGGGGCTTTGCCGATGGGAAGCGGTCCAACGCTATCTGCAATGCTTGCTCCCCTCCCGTATAGGCGGAAGAAACAACAAAGGGTCAACTTGGGTCAGACGATTCAGAGTGCACCGGTCCTGGAACCAACCTGGACGACATTATCCCAACGCTCGCATTTGCAAGCTTTCCCCGAAGGTACATCGAAGGAGTCCCTCTGCTGCCAGCGCTATGGGGGTTCGAGCAACTTGGGATGAAACTCGTCGAGCTTACAGACGGCTTCCTGTGCTTCGGCAGTATTTCCACAACCTGACCGACACCCACCAAGACTACCACCCCAATGGCCTTGTCCTGAAGAAGGTGGAAACGCCGTGTACGATGCATCTGGCCAACAGACGTATATGCGCTGCATATGCTGGGTGCAACGAATGAACTCAGAACAGGGCTCAGTAGCGATGAAAACAACATGCCCTCGCTGGAACGATTCCTGACGTCACAGCCTCAGGCAGCGAGGTCATGATGCTGTCGACCGCCTATCACGACTGATGAACGAACACAGTGTTTCACACTTGAGGTCACCTTCTCTTGCCCTGGTGATCGCCCAATGCCTGTCCTGGTAGGGTGGTAAGCTGCAGTAGAGTTATGGATGTGAGGGTATATGGGAAGCGAACACGACGATTGATTGCAGAACGACCTGGATATTTAATCTGGAAGACCGGTGTTGGAAGTTGTTACTGTAGACTAGATGTCGAACATTAATGAGTAGACATGTGCCGTAGTTGGACCAATTTTCTCAGACGAGAGGACGCGAGCGATGGCCCTGTTGAATATCCACAGGAATGCCCTATGCACATCTAGATACAATAATATCTACATCCAATGACGATTTGTCCGGGCGACCTACACTAGCGCAGAGAACAATACTTTGTCCACCGGTGGTTCAGGGTAACGGTCGGACGATGCCTGCCCCGCTTGAATTCGATTGAGCAACGGCTCCGCATCCCTTGGACTGGGGAAATATCTCGAACGGTTAGAGAGTCAGCGGTTGCATGTGAATTTTCTTCAACGTTGGGCATCCGAAGGGAGCGTGGATGAACAACTCCGTAGGAACCATCACCTCATGAGACTCTGCTTACAGTAGTGAAAGTTCAGAGTGACCCTCATGTGGTTCTCATGCACAAAATGAATGTTTTCGGAAGAGTTTCACTGAACGAGTTCGTGATGTTCTACTTGCGTATCGGGAGTATCCGAGGACTCAGGCCCAATGGCCACATCCTATTGTCCCCACTATGGAACGGTGAGGACGTTCAGGCCTGTCGGAGTTGCCTGAATGCCCATGGAAACGTTCGCGGACGAGCCCACCATTTCCAGCCTGGACTTGCTTGTGGATGGGCCAGTATGGGCGGCAATAGAGAGGCAGGAGCGCCGAACGCACCGTTACTTTGTCAGCGTCACAAAAAACGCACGGTGAATGTGAGTGTGCCCAGGCGTACACAGTCTTCCGGAGAGACGAGAGCCAAAGCGGTTCCACAAAGCGATTACAATGAAAAGTCAAAACCATCATGTTTGTAACGCTGAACTTTCGTGCCTGGCAAATCTCTAGTATGCATGCGAGCTTTCATCGCAGGTATGGCCTCACCACGGCTCCCAATACACATTCACCGAGATCGACCACCAGTCCCCTGTGGCCGGGGATATTCGTTAGACGCTTCAAATCAGACGGTGGAAGATCACATGACCTCGGCGGTACGGGCTGGACTTCCGGGATCGTTCATCATACGAAAACGCCATCGAGACAAAGCAATAATCTGTAACCCGCAATTGACAACGACTCCATGTACCACAATATCTCACGCTGACCGCCTCAAATGCTTGATATTGATGGCATCCGAACCTTGTGCACGCCGGCGATACAGATACACAAGGGACTCGAGACGAAGGACACATTTGGTGTGGTGCCCTTATCACGTAAATCACACAAGACAAAGGTCCCTCATAATGTTTAAAATTGCCATAATCCCGGGGAACAACCACCACTCAGTGCGAACTCTGTTGCCGGTTATGCGTCGTTGCAAGGCGCCGGGATGAGCCAAACATCGGGAACGTAAGCAGCACATAAACAAAAACACAATACACGAAAAAAGCAGGTGGTCTCAGCCCATTCGTAGGACGCCCTCAATATCGTAGAGCTCCAACGCCTCATACACCCTCTCTCAACAGGACGATAAACAACACACAAGCAACAGAGGTGAGCACACCACCACAGCGCCCCCTGCTGTTCCGTATATGAACAAGGAGATATCTACAACGCGACAGCTTTGCGCGGGTATTCGAAGGATTGAACGGGAGAACGGAACAATGAATAAACCCAGAAAAAGCGTGAAGCAGAGAAGAATCACTGAAAACCTTCACGCCGAGTCAGCTACGCGTCCGTTCCTACACCACATAGCCTGGAGCACACACTGTGCCGAACCACACGCGTTTGCCACGCCCAATACCTTCCAAAAGCACATCATGCAGAGGTGCCACAGGATGTTTGATGGTCGTGCGAAAGGGTATCCCCGCTTGGGAAAACCATTGAAAAGTCAACACGAGGCAACACCTGGCGATGAAACTTACATCTGACCCCCGTCCCGCGTGAGGATATCCCGACACGACCCTGTCCACGCCGTAGTCTAGGGATACCCTGCAAAACGAAACGCCCCCCTTACACTATCGGGAGGCGGTGGACGACGACCACCGCCGCAGCATTGGCCGTGACGAGTCACTACCGGACGTTCTCCTCCGGTTCGCTACCGTTACGCCGCCGTTGCTCCCACCGGTGCCGTTGCCGTACTCCCCCGAGGACGACGGAGACTGAAAGACACCTCCGGTGATCCTTTCGTCGCTTCGGAAAACCCACTCGTGGACGATCTTCCTCACCAACCGGTCGGCCACGCGAGCCGGGACCGGAGTGGCTTCGATCAGTGCCTGCATTTCGGTCACCTTGTTAACGCGGATACACGAGCGGGGACGCGGTACTCATGATTGGGGTGTGCTGTAGGGAAGGAGGTGGTAGTCGAGCCGTCTTTGTTGAGCAGGCGCGTTGAACATCCTGACTTGCTCATGCAGGTCGTTGGTGGCATGGCGGGCAGCATCGCCAGCAGTGGCAGAACAACAATCAGTGGTGGACGCGCACAAGGGTGCACAACCGCTGCCAAGAGCTGAATTCCACGACTGGTAAACCATAACACTCGCAGGTACAGCAAAAAACTTGGGTTTAGTCCATTGTTTAAAACCACGAGCGCCGTTTGAGTCGTCGTGTAGTATTCAGCACAACGACATATCGCTGTCTTACTCTTCCTACTAATGATTAGAACCTTCCTCTCCTTTTCGGTATCGGCGTGCGGGATACAAGTCGTTCCCACTGGCAAGCTGAGAAGGGAATATCGACCAGCTGGACAGCACCCGAAACGATGTTCGATATGCAGTGCAACAACAGCTCCTTTTGCTTGCGCCTTCCACCGCATTGGAAGAACACCACCTTGCAAACAACAACAGACATTTCATTCCGTTGTCGATGGACGCCGGGGTGCGTTTCGAACCTCTTTTCCTGAGATAGAACAGGCTCGTGCTTCCGCTGACAAGCAGCGACTGGACTTGAGAGCGACACAACAAGATTGGCAGCAACGACGATCAGCCGCCGCCTCCTCACGAACTTAGGGTTCGGGGCAATCACTGCACGTCAAGCGAAACCCCTCCCCCTCCAATCGGGATTGGCAAAACACACCAAACATGCAATAGTAACTGCATGCCCGAGGATAGCCCCATCGGCAACTTCGCTGCCGTCAAAATCAGGCACGGCGATTAATGACGTAATTCGGGGTCGTGGATGCCACCTTCAAACAAGGCCCACCCTCGTCTCAGGACCCTGTAAAATCCAACGCACCGTTATGTACCGCGGGCAGTTGAACGACAGCTGCCTTCCCACCATCGTCGAGCTCTCTGGCGGCCTCCGGACCATCACCACGGGCCGCCCATCCACCCCGCACACCCCTGTAGAGCCTTGCAGGAACATCTTGAGCGACGGACGCCTAGTCCTGTCCTGAGGCGACGTGTTTCTCCGCCCACCCAGACGCCACTGGATGCAGGCGGAGGCCCAGCGTATTCTTGTTTTCAACGAACACCTGCCGTCGACGGGGAAGAGGGCTCATTCATGGTGCGTGCGCTACCGTCGCTGGTACGGGGCTTTCCAACCCTCGCACGGAAATCGCCACGAATCTCAACAAGATGCGGGAACGAAAATGATCCCGACGTGGTCGCTTCAAACATGGCACCATGGCGTGAGGACGGTGGAACAACGTACAAGCTTGCATGGGTAAAAACTTCTTCGCAAATCATGAAGGGGGGAATGTCGGCCAGGTTGGGAGCTTTCTACCCTTTCGTTTTTTCCATTCGTCACTTTCATGCAGCAATTCCGCGCCCACTTTTCTTCACGCCGTCCTGTCATGCCTTTCTCGCGCAGGATCTCCGATTGGGTAGGCAACACAGAAGAGATCGTCCGCGTTGCACGTCCAATCATCTTTGGTGGGCTCCGCGGGTCATTCCGCCCGCAGAGGTTACGAGCTCGCGTTGTTCTACACGGTACTTCTTCGGACCCGCGGTTGTTCGCCTACACAGAAGAATGGGAAAGTCATAAGAACGTTCTGCTAGCTTAGGACTAGCGGTAGTACTATCTTCTCTTTTAAACACCCTGAGGAGGATGCTCTCCGCGAGGGAAATTGGCGTCGCAAACATTATCGAGCAAGTACGTATCACACACACGAAACTGACGCTAGGATCTGCTCCGGTTGTCGAGCCGTTTGCCGTGAGTGCGGCACCCACCAAGACATGCCGACGAAGGCGATGAACGACTGGAGTATGGTGTCCTCGCCGCGCATGCCACTCACGACTCCTCGGTAGGCCTTGACAACGACGACAGAAAGCGGGAGCGCCGGGGGCATTATTCGGGATTCGGCTGAAAAGCAGGGGCGTGCGGGATTACGACAGGACGCATCTTCGCCTTGCGTTTGGGGGGGGAGGGGGGGGGGGAGGGGGGGTGTACTCATAATCGTGCATGCCGTAGTCGTTAGACCATTGACCTCGCATCCCTACAAAGCCGGGACGGAGCACGCCGGGTTCTCACCGGACCAGGCTCTCATATCACCAAGCGCGAAGCGCCGTGAGGTATTTGGCGAGTCGCATAAAGGGTGAGCTGCATCCTGCTAAGGGTGTTCGGCATCTTGTGCTTACTTCCTTGCGTACGGATGACAGCTACGTATGACTTAATTTATTTTCTGGTGCTTTCACTTCCAGAGACAGTTGTAAGCACTGTGTAACTGCCTCGAGGAAGCTTGACCATTTTAACACAACGTGGTGCGATCATCCCCCGTTGCGCGGAGTGAGGGTTCTCGACCCCGCACAACATGATCTACTCGACCACCATTATGGTTACCGCCAAAAAAAAAAACGAGGTAAAAAAAAAAAACGGTAACCTGGTTGTCGAGTTCACGAAGTGAATTGGCTTGTTTTACAACGTCGTTGCCAAGCGACGAAAACCCAATCCCGATGGCAAACACCGAGTGGGGGGCTTGTTTTACAACGTCGTTGCCAAGCGACGAAAACCCAAACCCCGATGGCAAACACCGGGGGGGGGGGGGTACTCATAGTCGTGCATGCCGTAATCGTTTGACCATTGACCTCGCATCCCTACAAAGCCGGGACGGAACACGCCGGGTTCTCACCGGACCAGGCTCTCACATCACCAAGCGCGAAGCGCCGTGAGGTATTTGGCGAGTCGCATGAAGGGTGAGCTGCATCCTGCTAAGGGTGTTCGGCATCTTGTGCTTACTTCCTTGCGTACGGATGACAGCTACGTATGACTTAATTTATTTTCTGGTGCTTTCACTTCCAGAGACAGTTGTAAGCACTGTGTAACTGCCTCGAGGAAGCTTGACCAATTTAACACAACGTGGTGCGATCATCCCCCGTTGCGCGGAGTGAGGTTTCTCGACCCCGCACAACATGATCTACTCGACCACCATTATGGTTACCGCCAAAAAAAAACCAGAGGTAAAAAAAAAAGCGGTAACCTGGTTGCCGAGTTCACGAAGTGAATTGGCTTGTTTTACAACGTCGTTGCCAAGCGACGAAAACCCAATCCCGATGGCAAACACCGAGTGGGGGGCGGCTTGTTTTACAACGTCGTTGCCAAGCGACGAAAACCCAACCCCGATGGCAAACACCGAGGGGGGGGGAGGGGGGGGGGCATAAGGTTGGGCGGAAACCCTTAAGACGAACAATTACCGGCTTCGTGAGGGCACGAACACGGGTTCTTTGAGGCTCATTGCGTTCGAGTCGTGCTGCAGCATAGGTGTTTTCGGCTTAGTCTCTGGCATAGTCTTCGAGTGCGGGCAGGGTGATCTACTTTGTTTTCTCGGGCTTTACGCAGAATAGTCCTGCTTTGCATGGGCGGGGTCGGACGGCCGTATTCGAGACATTTAGTGTTGTTTCTTCTTCTTGGTACCGTGGAACTCCAATTCTTAACCTTAAGAGTACGGATGAGGACGTGCCGGATCGGCGACGGAACGATCCATCACTTTCGGAATGATAACACGTTCCAACACTATGTATGCCCCATCATTCTGTGCCTCCTATAATAACTGCCACGAAGCTTCACGACCTACCACAACCTGGCGGTAGACACACCAGCGGTGGTGCCATCAGCAGCCGAAGCAGCAAGGAAGGTCTTCGTCAGAAACACAACATGCGAAACACGAGGACGAGCAACTTCTAACCAACAACTACAGCAAAATAAAAAAGTACGAAGTAATCACCACTACCAATTCCAACAACCGGAACAAAAACAACACGAAGCACCCTACCTCGAGAAGGATAGCGATCACCACGTTCAGCAGCAACACCACGCCCAGGACCTGGTACAGCACCACCACCACCGGCCCGACCGTGGGCTGCGCATCCAGGATCTGCGGGTAGAAATTCTCCGACTCCCCGAGGGAAATGCGGGTCACGCTCTGCCACGCGTCCTCCAGGGTGGAAAACTCTTTCGTGCTGGACCCGACGAGGAGCCATGTGAGGGCGGCAAACGCGAGGATTACCTGGGGAAAGAGAGAGAGGGAAAAAGAAACAGTTAGCGGGTTTCATCCCAGTCTGTTGCATACCATATGCTCTCATGTGGGGTTCTGAGCGGGTATTCACGCGTTCTTGGTCCCCTTGTCGAGACTTTGGTGTCCAGCTTTAGCGCTTAGGTCGGTAGATTTGCGATACGCCCTTTGACATCTGTAAAGGTCGAATCGATTACGTCCGACCGCATGCGATTCGAAACTAAACCATTGTTTGCGTGGTGGACACGGAGAGGCGGGAGAAACCTGCCGAGCGCGTTGGTCGCAGAAACACAACGCAGGAAACACCAAGCAACGGATATAGTCTTCAGTCCTATGAACGCTAGAGGTACATTTCAATACTGTGTGATTATATTCGTCTGTGCGGACATTTCAATACAAGCAACGGCTTTCAACAGGAAACACTACCCTGTCTTCACCTCGGCCCACACAGATGGCGGGCTAAAACGCGACCACACCGAGAAGCGAAACACTACCTCTGACCACCGCGACTATGCACAACGCACTACCAACAGCGTCGTCAGCACTATTTGACCAGCACCAAAACCCCAGGACACCTCTTGTCCGGCAAAGGGTTCCGCCTTACCAGGAAAAACACGAACAGGAAGTGGTCGAGGTGGGTGCTGGCTCTGCTCAGGGTGTCGGTGACGATGCTCATGCGCTTGTGGAACGTGAGCATCTGCGTTGAGCGGAGGCGTGAGGTGTAGCCAAAAACAGGAACAAGGAGGCGGTTGCCGCAGGCGGAACCAAAAATGTCACGTGTCAGCAGAAGGCGACAAACTGATACAGCAGAGCCGAGAACCACGCAACGTTTAGAGTTCAAAAGCAGTGATGGCAGCAGAAGACTCGCCCTCGAAATATGCCGTTCTCGCACAAGACACATCACCATTACCTCCTCAAACTTATCTCGTGATGACTTGCCACGAACGTCGAGACGAAAAAAGCAAGTAGGTACGAATGTATGCACCCAGCTGGTGTAACCACGAATGAAACTAACGCACCATACGCGACCTGCGTAAAGCCCCATCACGCGCGCCGCCATTGTGCGCGTAGGCATTTTCTTCTCTCTGACCAGCGTACCTACTTCACTCAAAGAGGCCAATTGGACTTTCATCTGCCGAATTTTCTCCAAGCGCCCGGGCACCGGCGGTTTCACGTTCCCCTGTGTATTTATCCCCTCACAGTTTCGAGAGCAACTGTTCCAGCTGTCCAACCAGTGAGGGCGTGTACTATCGTCCCTTTTGGGGACATGGAACACGGAACAGGGAACACGGAACTCAGAATTTCTGTCTGATTGGCCAGCCAAACAAAATAATTTTCCTGGAAACAAGGATTGACACACACGTTCCCTGTTTGAGGTAGTTACGCCGCACCATAATGTTAACTCTCAAGGGAGTTCAAATTAGCCAACAGGCCATAGGGAACGTGGAACACGGGCTCTTCGGTGGCAAATCAGGACGTGGTGGGATATCTGTGATTTCTCTCGGGCATGTGGCTGCCACAGGTGCTGCATGCTACCAGTGCAAGCCGTATAGGAATTGCCACCATCACCCGGTGTCTCACATACGAAAAAACGGCGGTGGATGCTCCTGTAGCCGTTGCATGGAGGAACATAAAGTGTCAAACAAATGACAAGCTGCCGTCGATCAGAACTCAAAGGCAGGCCTTCCAGAGCACCGTCGAGGGTGCGGATTGCATGAGGAGCACAGCATCTTATAGCCGATATCTAGCGCATGTGTTTGATGTGCGCTCGTCAACAGCTTCCTTCAATACCTACACCACCCTGTACCCCCCACTTGTCTTTTCTGCTGCATCCAATGGTTGTGTTTGTTGCCTTTGGGTACCTGCGGGCCGCACGCGCGCTGAATTGTTCCGTGTTCCTGGAAATGTGGCGTATGTTAGGACACAACGACACGGCACAGGGACACAGGAAATCCCGAGTTCCCTGTTCCCGGTTCCCTGTCTAGCAAAGGGACGTTAGTGCACGCCCTGAATATCGACATGTTTCACCATACCATTGCAACCACGAACACCTTCGGAACAAAGTTTCTCTTCCGTCGTATCGCTGGGTCGATCTCTTGCCTGGAATATCCAGCGGTAGAGTCCGGTCAAGGTTGTGAGGAGAAAAATGATGTGGAGTGCCCACGAGAAAAGAGCCGCTTCTTGGAGGGCCAGAACCTGCCCAACTAGCTGCGTCGACCATTGGCGTTTATTCGACGTAGCGAGCGGACAAGCAGCAAAATGGTAGGCTTTTGGGTTTAAGGGCAATCTGTCTCTGAGAACAAAAAATGGTGTTAAATGCAAGCAAAATTTCGTCGGTTGCGCTTGCGCTGAATCGTAGTCGGTTCCCTTCCCCACTTGCAAGTTGGAGAGCTGCGGGCAATTCCACGGTCTCTGCCCTTTGGGCTAGTCTTCAGGACACAAAATGCACGCGTACATAGCATGCACTACTATGTTTCGATGATCAATGAACGCCGGCAACCATTCGACCTAGGTACTACTTTTTCGGATACGTTCATTCAGTGGCGGAGGGCGGAGGGCTCGATGAGTCAGATATCGTTGAACGAGGCTACACACAACAAGAGAGAGTTATAGATGCTCGGGGTTTCTTAGAGAATATCAGCCCTTTCGAACAAACACCCCAAAGCTAGGCCGCGTCGGTTGATCAACCAGCGAGAACGAATTCCACGTTTTGCCGGGGTTAAAATATTTTGAGAGTTCTCAACACGATGCTCCATCTACAACAGTGGCGCCGGTGAACGTGCGTTCGAAGTTTTCCAAAAACATACCGCGTCCAGGACCGAGTCCTCTTCGCTGGAGGTGCCTTGAAGAACCACATCGTTCGCTATGACCTTTCCCAGAGATGCCCAACCCTGCCCAAAGAGATGGTGAGGATGTGTGACGAGGGGAAAGATGGCACGGGTGTGAATAAATTCCGGGGTAGACATGATTCCAAAGTCGAAAACGCTGATTAAGGAAGAACCGATGGCTGTGATGTAGCTATGGAGCGTACAGCAGCGGTGCCCGAGGGTATACCATGAAACTGCTGTCACCCATGGGGCAAGAAAAAGAGGGAAAGACACAAGAGCACACACGAAGCCAGAACATGCCTACAGGCGACAAGAGCGTTGCGCTTTCAAAAAACGAAGCAAAGGGGGGGCTGCCTGCCTGCCTACTCACCAGCCACATCAGAACGTTTAGGATGATCAGAGTGAAAAACGTGAAGCCGCAGCAGCAGTGACATTTGTTTCCTGCGGATCGAAAACGGAGAGGGCGGAACAAAATGTTGCAAAGTGTTGAGGTGCCTGCACGAGCCCGGCGGGGGAGCGGGGCTTCTACCGGTCAAATGCCGCAGCGCGTGCTGTTCACGATGCGGGGACAACGTTGAATCTGGATAGACAAATAGTGTGGTCACGGTACCATTTTTACCGCCTGTGTGCAATACGGGGACAACTGCATCTGGTTGTGATCCAACGGAACAACAACAAGGGATCGCCGTGTGTCGATAGCTCGTAGGCGCGTCAACCGCTGTTGACGCCAACGCGGCCCAGAGCTAGGCCTGTTGGAGCCCGACACTCACGTACAGTAGCTACCGCTGTGCTACAGAACAGAAACCAAAACTCACGCCTGGCCTTGGCACGCCTGGCTCGATACCACTTCCTCGTGTCGTGCCGAATCATGGCCAGTGTCATGCACACAAAGATCAACCCCAGGATCCACCGGATCCTGAGTGTACGCGTACGTACACGGTGCGCGCGCGAGAGAGAGATGGGCGAGAATGGCCGACAGAGGGGGCAAGGGAGAAACAGAAAGGGAGACGTAGAGGGAAACATCTTGGTGTTTCCGTTCACATGGTAGCGTGGGGAGAGAGACGATGAATGACAGCGAATATGAGCGAGCAACAACGAGCGAGAGAATGGGGGGAAGAATGAGAGTAGAAAGTGAAACCACGCGTGAGGGGGGCCGCTGATCTTTCGCGACGTGCGTCACACGGGATGTGGTACACGGGCCATGGTTACGGATTGCATCCGTGGACACAAGACAAGACTCAAGCCGAACGAAGGGGTTCAAGCAGCCAGTAGAAGAAAGCTTCATGTGAGGGACTGAGTGAACCTGCTGCTCCTGCTTGCTGCTGCTGATGCTACTGCTGCTGCTCCCGCTCCCGCTGTCGAAGTTTCTACTACTGCGGCTGCTAGTACCCCTGCCTCTACTATCGAATCTGCGTCTCATGCTGCACCTGTCACTCCCCTGCCCTGCGTTTCCCGTCAGAATGTAGGCCGTCACAAGCTCGTTCGCCTCTACTTCACCCCCTGCGGAGGTTCAAACGAACCAGAGAACGTAAGGCCGAAAAACAGGTGGCGGGAGCTTGTTGGTGGTGGTGATACTGCACTGTGTTGTGTTCGTTGCTGTTGTTCGCTGCTGATGCTGCTGATGCTACTGCTACTGCTGCTGCCGTTGATGTTTGTTGTTTTGTCTTATCTCCACTTGAGTGCTGCTCCGACGTCTGTACGCTTGTGCGCCCCCGAAGACTACTCGCGCGAATACCTCCAATCTACTGCAAAACCATCAGTTCAGCCCCGTCAAAAACGAGATCCGCATACATGGCGGAAAACAATCTCCATATTAGCCAACTAACGGCGAGAAAAACACTCAAAACGGATGCTATGATAGCGCACGAACGACCTGTTATTCATTCTGTGTTCTCGAAGACGGGATATGATCTCTGACGTAATGGTTCCAAGAGATCTTGTGGCCCCAGAAGCATGAAATCCGACACAAGGGAGCAAAATTGACAGTGCGTCATGGCAATTTCGGAACATACATTGTTGTTTGTGTCTTCACTTCAAATCAGGGCTCGAAGCACGTGAGCCGTTTACTCCAACCCCGGTCACACAGACCGTAAAACAGAGAAAACTCAACCTCCGAATTATTTCGACGAGATCATGCATTGGTGAATCCTCCACATCCACATTGATACTACGCAAACCACCACAAAAGCAAACGTCGGCACTGCTCGACGCAAAACTCGTGAGATAGAACGACAACCAATTTCGCCATCTTCACTTGCTTGTACAGCACACTACCTCTGTACAACGGTAACAACGAGAAGCAGCACAACGGTTCAGCAACCAAGAGACCCCAACGCCGAACGATGCATCTCCAACGCCCCACAGCAGTATTGATGAAATACGAATATTTCCGGCACCGCTAACTCGGCGCAGGCGCCCTTGCCCGCGACGAGCGGGTCTAAAGCACCTCGCTTGTCGTGATCAAAGCCGTGTGCGATGTTGACAGGGTCAGAGACAACAAGAAGCCAAAACTGTTCGTCCGAAACCCGCCGCACCGGTGTGGAAGCCTTGGGCGATGGTCATGGAGCAAGAGTGAAGGTAAACCAGGGTTGTACTTTAACGCCATGATGAGGGAACTAAGGCAAACATTAGCCAGAACCTCTTTGACCAGAATCCACCTTCCGACGATTGAATCTGATCCCGTCGTTTATAGTACCAGAGCATAGATACGCCATACCAGACTAAAGCAAAAACCGGTAAACCCGATCGAATGGAGGCCCGAAATTGATGGAACAATGAGCAAATACGAACCACTACCGAAAAATCAAACAAAAAAGCGAATATTTCAGATGGATCCTACCAAAGGGGGGAGGAGTCTGAAATTGGTGTTTATTGGAGTTGGTAGAAGGAGTGGGCATTTATATTATATGGCAAAGAGTATGTCTGCGTGCTTGCAGGAGAGGAGGCATGCGCACCGAGATAAGGCAGCTGCCCGCAGGACATTCCGTTTGCGCCCGATCACGTTGGAGCATCAGCAGTGCTGGAGCACAGGGACTGCTAGACGTACGATTGGACAACACTCTGCCAGCTGCTGGTTTAGGACATTCTGTTGCGGGAGCTAGTGTTGTCGTCTTTTCCGACGGGGCGGAGGCCACTACCGCTGGGCGGGAGGAGTCGCTACGTCGAGCCTGGAACACATCGACTTCGCTTGGTACGTGCGACTGACTGCGATGTGGCGTGTTATCCCAGCAGCATCACAGCGAGAGCTGGCTTTCGCAGACAGCAGTTAGTGCACACAATGACAAATGTTGTTATTGTATACGGCACACGGGGGCCGAGGCTGTAAGGATTCACGTGCCATATGTGAAGTGGCGGGCGGGTGTGGGCATGCTGTATCGATGTTGTTGACTGCTGTTGGGCGTGTTCGGAAAGCGCGTCCGAAAGAAGCCACCGGTTACTGGTGTGACTGCGGTGTGTGCGCGGGTGTGCATGCGGTAGGCGCCGCGACTCCCTCGATGCCTGTCGTTCGCTTGCGCGGGGTACCGGCCGAGTTTGCATCATGCGACAGCAGATATCATCGAGCATGTCCGAAGCACCCGATCACTTCTGGTGTGCTGAGTGATGGTCACATAGAGCGGTACGAGCGCGTGTTCGCGTTCCTATGTACGCATACAGCATATATTATGTCTCACCGACAATGTGGTTAGGTGGCCGCGGTGCGTGTGCTGGTTGCGCGGGAGAGGCGCCGCGGCCGGCTATGGGTGTCGCATGACAGGGCACCGTGCCGAAGGTGGAATTCGGGGTGCTGCGTGCGGTTATGATGTGACTGCGGTCCCAATTTTTAAACTTCAACGCATCGACTATGAGAAAGATGCGAAAGCCAGGACCGCATCGAAAACGCGTTGTGCTTTCCGGTCCGTAGTGTCAGAGACACTATGGTGTGATTATCAGAAATACTGATCGCGAGACGAGACACATCGTCTGGGGTGTTTGTCGCAGTGCGACAAGGGTGGTGGATTGGTGACAAACAAAACTGCCGTCCAAACCCAGTGCCAAACCCACACACAAAAACAAATCTATTTTCGGTTGTTATTGCTGCTTGTCATGTCGTGTACACTTGATGGACGGTTTTTTTTTCCCACGAGGTTTTCCAGAAGTCAATGTGGACCGGATGAGAAGAGTACGATGACCGATCGTTGGGCATGATAACGACTAATCGATGATGGGTCGTAGTTATCAGGGGCCGAAAGCAAGATGTATGGCATGTAGGTTGCTGGTGCGAATGTGGACGGCATGAGGCCGTCATGGCACATACTGAATTTTGCATGGGCCGGTTGGGCACGCACGAATGTGGGTAGTCGTGCGTGGAATAATCGGTGGAACGGCACGATAAACAAAGAAAAATCAATAGATATGGAGCTGGTTGCGCTGGAGCGTATGGTGCCGGCTCGCGGCCTATTGATGGTGGCGTCTCGTCATGTGATGAGTCGTGGTGATCAGGAGCCAACAGCAAGATGTATGGCATGTAGGCGCTGGTGCGCCTGTGTAACGGCGTGCGGCCGTCATGACACATACGGAACCTTACATGGGCCGGTTGTGCACGCGCGACGGTGGATCGCGGTGCTGGGAATAATCGGTGGAACGGCACGATCAACGGAAGAAGTCAAATAGATAAAGAGCTGGTTGCGCTGGAGCGTATGGTTGCCGGCTCACGGCCTATTGATGGTAGACCCAGGCGGACATTGAAGATGATCCGTAATGGTCAGGAACCGCACGCCAGGCGTATGGCATGTAGGTCGCTGGTGCGACTGCGAGACGATACGAGGTCGTCAGGACACATACCATATGTGGCAGGGGCCGGTTGTGCGCGCCCAAATGTGGATTCCGTGCATGGACAAATCGGTGGAACCAAATAATTTGGTGGAAAGACACACGGCACACAAACCAACCCAAAAACAGAATGCGTACGTGACCCATTCGGCAGTCTATCATCGCGCATTTCGTGAGCCTAGGCCCGGCGATGCCTAAGCACAATGGTCAGATTGGGTGGTGCATGGTTTGCACCGGTGTGTGGACATTGGGTGGTGCATGGTTCGCACCGGTGTGTGGATCAGGGGTGGCACTATGTACATGTGACAGTGGTGGGTGCCACAGATAAGCATGCTTCGTTGAGTCATCCACGAGTGATGTACTGGTGTACATGGAGCTGCATACAATGATGCGAAAGGAAATCAATAGCATCGCAAAAGTGTTGTACTTTTCGATCCATATTGTCAGAGAAACTATGGTGTGGTTGTGATAAATCCCGATCACAAGACGAGACTTATTATCTAGGGTGTTTGTCGGCGCGAGACAAGGGTGGTGGATTGGTGAAAAACCGCCGTCCAAACCCAGAGACAAACACAAATCTACTTTCGGTTGTCGTTGCTGCTTGTCATGTCGTGTACACTTGATGAATGGGTTTTTTTTTCCCACGAGGTTTTCCAGAAGTCAATGTGGACCGGATGAGAAGGGTGAGATGATTGATTGTCGAACATGGTACAATTGTAGCGACTAATCGGGTGACGAGTCGTGGTTACCAGGAGCCGAAAGCAAGATGTATGGCGTGAATGTCGCTGGTGCGACTGCGAAACGGCATGCGGCCGTCATGACACAGACTGAATCTTACATGGGCCGGTTGTGCACGCGCGAATGCGGGTCGTCGTGCATGGAATAATCGGTGGAACGGCGAGATAAACAAAACAAGTCAATAGATATGGAGCTGGTTACGCTGGAGCGTATGGTTGCCGGCTCACGGCCTATTGATGGTAGCGTCTCATCAGGTAAGGAGTCGTGGTTAGCAGGCGAGATAAACAAATTAAGTCACGAGATATGGAGCTGGTTACGCTAGAGCGTATGGTTGCCGGCTCACGGCCTATTGATGGTCGCGTCTCATCAGGTGATGCGTCGTGGTTATCAGGAGCCGAAAGCAAGACGTATGGCATGTAGGTCGCTGGTGCGACTGCGGAACGGCATGCGGCCGTCATGACACATACTGAATCTTACCTGGGCCGGTTGGGCGCACGCGACTGTGGGTCGTCGTGCATGGAAAATCGGTGGAACGGCAAGATAAGTCAATAGATATGGAGCTGGTTACGCTGGAGCGCATGGTTGCCGGCTCACGGCCTATTGATGGTAGCATCTCATCAGGTGATGCGTCGTGGTTATCAGGAGCCGAAAGCAAGATGTATGGCATGTAGGTCGCTGGTGCGACTGCGGAACGGCGTGCGGCCGTCATGACACACACTGAATCTTACATGGGCCGGTTGTGCGTGCGCGACTGTAGGTCGTCGTGCGTGAAATAATCGATGGAACAGCACGATAAACAGAACAAGTCAATAGATATGGAGCTGGTTATGCTGGAGCGCATGGTTGCCGGCTCACGGCCTCTTGATGGTAGACCAGGATGGCGGGTCGTTGGAGATGATCCGTGGTGGTCAAACCGCGCGCCAGGTGTATGGCATGTAGGTCGCTGGTGCGACTGCGAGAAGGTATGCGGTCGTCATGACACATACCAAATGTTGCATGGGCCGGTTGTGCACGCCCGAATGTGGGTTGTAGTGCACGGGATAGTCGGTGGAACGACATAATTTGGTGGAAAGAACCAATAGATGTAGAGTTGGTTACGCTGGTGTGTATGGTACCGGCTTACGGCCTCGCGTCTCGCCCACTTGTTGCGCATCGATGTGGTAAACCCAGACACCTGTGTCGATGTTGCTAGTACAGGTGGGCAGGGAGACAGGGTTTGTTGTCTTTTCCTGGCATGCTTGTAGCAAGGAAAAACAAACATGCGAGACTGCGGGAGTGGAGAGAGACACGGAACCAACATGTATGCCGTCATATGATGAGACTACATACATGTGCCGCATGGGTGCGGGCGTCTTCTTATGGACACCTCTAAACAAGAATTGCTGTCTATCGGTGTACACAGCTTCGCATCCCGCTAGCCCGTGGCGCATCAAATAAATCGATAAATCCGTCGATGACGCTGGTATGAATGGGAAGGAATCGTCTCACATACGAGGGATGGAGGGGTGGGTATGCAAGAAACCATAGCTGGACGGAGCCAAAACACAAACGCGCTCGTGGAAAGTCGACACATGTACTGGTGTACATGATCGCGCAACTTATTGGCCTACGCCCGGTGATGTCTAGGCACAGTGGTTCACATCTGAGAAGGGGAGCATGTGGTTCATTGTACACCATGATGGCGTGTCGTCTGGGGACGAGTCGTGGTTGTCAGGAGCCGGCCGCCAGATGTATGACATATATGTTGCTAATAGCGTGCCTACGAGACGGAAGGCGGCCGTCATGACACACGATGTATCTTGCAATGACCGGTCTGGTACACGCGACTGGTGGGTCGTCGTGCACTGCTTGAGGGGTACATGGTCCGACTGCACCGGCTATTACACGAGCGAGGAGATGTTACTGTGCGCGCTGGTAGGCAGGTGTATAACGTGACGCGTTTACTACATCATCGTTCTGACGTCCCCCATATATAATTTCGTCCTTGTGTCTTCATACCCAATTGTTCGCCCGTGATCAGGATATTGATCGGTCATCGGGGGGCCGTCGTCGGGGGACGGAGGTATGAGTCGGGACGGGGACGTCTCGGATGAGTCCGTGATTGGCCGCGAGGAGTACCAGGCGGAAAGGCAGGACAGCGCTAACGAACGGGCCATTATTAGCGCGTCGGTTGAGGACCTCAAAACCGACATGGCGGCGAGGTTCGAGGAGGCGCTGGCGGCCGTACGCGCTCGGAGCGACGGGTCTGCGGCGGGTGGTGCTGCCGGGGTTGCGCCAGCGCCGATGTATGGGGGCGCGGGGGCGCAGGGCTCCTCGTCCGATGCAGTCGTTACCGAGCTAGGACGTAGAGCCACGGACCATGCTGAGGTCCCCTTGCCTAGCGAACGGGATACGCCACCCCCCTTTCCCCCTGGGTGTCGCATTCCCCCCGGTTCAGGAGGCGGTCGTTCCGACTCGTTTTTCGTGAAGCCCTATGTAGACGGTGGTATCCTTGTCGAAGTCATGTGGATCCCGACTGGCGCACGGTGTAAAGTGTCGTCCGCGTCGTGTGAATCGGACCATTTCCGTGTGTTTGGCGCGCGAGGGCCTGGGGACCCCCCCCCCCTGTTGTCTCCGCATAAACTCTCTTCGTGGCAAACACGATTGTGTGTGCTAGGGTGGGACATTGATACAGTAGCTATGACGATTTCGGTTCCCGCAGACAAGCTGGCACGTCTGCGGGCGACAATCCGCGAGTGGCCCCCCAAGCGCCACTGTGCTTCCGAGTCCGAGTTGCGGGGGGTGATTGGTTCGCTGTTGCATATATGTGAAGTCGTGCGGCCTGGTAAATACTTTGTTCGCCGTGTGCTCAACCAGTTGGGGCTCCCACCGGTGCAATTGACAGCCCGGGGGCAGGAGCGGACACGGATAGGTCCCGAGTTTCATGCAGAGATGCAGTTTTGGCGTCTGATGGTAGACGGGGGCTTGGGGTCGCCGTCGCGGGTGTTAACAGCCCCACTTGTTAATTTGTTTGTTTTTTCGATCAACCATATTCGTGTCTTTTGTGGTCAGATGCATCTGGTGATGCCATGGGGGGGTATTTCTTGCATGCTGAATTCCGTTCGGGAGTATAATGGTGTTTCGAATTCAGTCAGGACGTGCGGGAGCGGTTTCGCCAGCAGGCTGAGGTCTTGGACCCGGAGGTCGCCGATATTTGTACCGGCGTTTTAGCTGCGAGTACGTCCGCGAGTCAGTTGCGCAGTCGTCTCGAAGAACTTACAGGTCGGGTTGGCGGGCTTAGTGTGTTTTTCGCGTGTTGATTAGCGAGTCGGTGTACCTCTCGGGGGAGGCGGACGATACGGTGCTGGGACAAGCACTCCTGGAATTTGTGGCGTGGTGTTGTGCAGGTAAGGGTAACGTTGCACCGACCATTTCCGGCAAGCTCGCCGCTGTACAGTATTTTCATCGCGTCGATAGGCAGGTCTATGCTTGGCGTTGTCGTATTTTCTGGTGGCGCGTTCGGATGTGATTTTTGCCACGATGTCGGGACACTGCCACCAGGTGCATTGTTTGCGGCGGAGCGACGTCGAGTTTTTCGACGGGGAGCACGTGTTAACCCCGTTGCACTGGCACAAGGCTACGGGTGTCCGGGTTCGGTTTCGTGGCCACAAGGGAGATCAGTCGGAAATGGGGGCGTACGTTACACGAGTGCGCGATGTCGCACGAGGTCCGAGTTCTCAGATTGGCGCCGGTGGCGGTGCCGTGGCGGTGTTGGTGGAATTGATGGCGTGCCATCTTGCTTTGCCTGAGAACGCCCCTCTGTGCTCGTTTCGTTGCAGTAGGAGCAGGTCGGTTAAGGTTTGGGGATATTCCAAAGCTCTTAGCGCCCTTCGCCAGATTGTGGAGAAGGTAGGTGGCGACCCGAGACAGGTTGGCTTGCATTCATTGAGGATCGGGGCCGCCACCACGTTGGCAGCGGGAGGAGACGTACCGGATAGAATTATACAGAGAGGGTAGATGGAAGGAAGGGTCCGGTACGTACAAGATATATACTCGGGACAATATGGTGGACGTAGACATAGTATCCCGTAAACTAGCAAAGGGATGGAAGGAGCAGAAGGAGGGTTAGCATATACGAAGGTACGGGCAAGGGAGACAGAATGCCGTCCCACTAAACGTCGATGTTGGTGGATGTCAATGGTAGAGTACCATTGGGGGTCTCGGTATACTGAGACGACATTTTGTTAGGCCCAGCCAGTTGACATGAAAGGAAAATTGGATTCTGGATGAGAGAGGGAAGCGACCGGTGTCGCCCCCTCGTTATTTGCCAGAGAGTTACCTTTCAGACTTCGTGGAAAATAATAATAAAAATGACACTTCGGAAAAATACAATAAAGCGAGAGAATGAACCCAGCTTTGACAGAACCGACCGAAAGATGCGGAATTTTCCCAGACTAACCAAATTCGTCTTAGCGCACGTGAACCCGGCTATGGCAGTATCAGAGCAAAGATACCCCGGTTTACCAGAAAAACCAGTATCCACTTCACGCCGTCGAAAGTGGGCCAAATTTGACAGACCAAGAGCAGAGAAAACCTCGTTACCAGCCTAGCCAAATTCCGCTCAACCCGATGGATCTCAACCCATTGATGGGAGCTGAGAAAAGCCAAACCACAACCTGAACGAATCAAATCCGCTTACCGTGATCGAAAGTGAAGCCGATGTTGATAGAGCCGAAGGCCGACCCCTGGTTCCCGTTGTAGGTCACGAGCTGAACATTCACGGAGCGAACCTCATCCCGAGGAATCACGTCCAGATCTTCCATCACCAAGAGGGTACAGTACCCAAAGTTGAGCTGTCATGTGAGGTGGGAATCATGGTGCGCGTGCATTTGCGACTAAGCCCATCGTGCATCAACATGGCAAGGTATTCGGGGATCGCGGGATCTCTCCGGCAGTGGGGTATCACATGGCGTTCCGTTTCGTGTAGAGGAGAGAGGCGAGAGGGTGACAATATGCAGAAAGACGTACACAGACAATTTACAGCTTCTGTGAGACCCGTATCAAAGCTCCATGTCTGCCCGTGTGCGCGGTCATCGTTGCAGAACCTGGGAAGGCCCAATGTCATCGGCTGAATGGGCGTTGGACTGGCAAAATACTCACCGAGGTGCATGTTCGAGCCAGTCGAAAAGCAACCGTTGTTCATAGCTGCGGTTCGGGTGACAGCCAGCGTCGCAAAGGCCGTGGGCGTACCTCATAAACCGGCATGTGAAAACAGGCGTATATTATCCTCCTCAACAGTAGTTTCGGCGACAGTCTGTGATGTTGTTGTTCTCCTCACATGAAAAACCATTCCGATCTCTCTGCCCCGTACCTTCACCTGTCTGTACTGATCTACCACTTGACCTGGTCGATTCCCGTGGTCACAGGCAAACTTCCCCCAAGAACGTGTAGACACATATTCTACACGCTATGTGAGGAAAGTCAACATCACGGCGGACCGGAGAGGTACATCTCCTATAATAGTTCAATCTCGGTGCCGGCGGGGTGTCCTGAGTGCTACCCACAAATATCAAGGGCCTGCTGCCCCGATATCCACGCAAGAAAGCGAGTCTCCCCTCTACTCGAATGCAGACGCGGCAACACTTGTTCAGGTGTGCCGTTCACTTACCCCAATGTTGAAGCCTCCCGTGTCGACGAGCACAGGGTATCCAGATGCCACTGAGCAATGGGTTAGGGTAGGCAGGAGGTTTAGCACCAGAGAAAATATGAATCACGAAGGGTGCCCCAAACACCCGAGAAGTCCCCCCTTGGGGAAGTCTTGAGAGACCAAGCAGTCAACGATGAGGTACACCAAACTGTAGCAGGTACTGCTGTAACCCCGATTGGTTGTGCGGTCTGCGAAGAGCCGGCGCTACAGCAGTCGTGGCTCCTAAAAAATACAAGCGGGTTGTGTGACAAAGGCCTCTGACCCTCTTACATCGGAGCCCGGGGAAATAAGAGGGTACCCGACTATAATTATAGCGGGTCGAGTCCGTGACAGTCGATTTTGTCCCTATAATATCGGAGCCCCATCGTACCAAGTACCTCCTACAACGGAGCCACGACTTTACCTTGATGACCACAAAGATCAGCGAGTGAGCCACCTTTATCAGCTGGTGACTACAAGGAACAGCGTGCGGAGTCACGAACCTCCGCTGTAGGTCATTTCCTCTTCGGGTCTGAAGAATCCCCATGGCTGTGGCGGGGCATAGGTGGTTTTGTTGGTACCCTCGTCGGCTAGACATATGTCGTAGTAGTCGCCGGACGAGGACGAAGAGCACTCATCGCTCGAGAGTCGATTTCTGCGGGTGAATGTCACCTACAGTTCGGCGGGCAGGTGGGTCACGTATTATAGTGGCTGTAGCAAGACGCGTAACGAGCGGAAGATCCAGAGCACGTGAAAAGACGGAAGGACAGCAGCGGCCGCCCAGCGAATGTGGTGGCAGAGTACCGAAATTCCGCCCTCGCATCTCTTTTCTTTCGAAGGTGGGGGGAAAATTCGGGAGTATTTGATCTCTAAACACGTAACAACAAATACCAGGTGCTAGCACGGCAGCCTTCAAGGTGCAAGAAATCCGCGCAGCACGTTAGGGCTTGCAGCGCAGCTAGTGGGAGACAGCAGTTTGAACGAAAACAACACAACGTTCTCCTAGCGCCAATCTATCGTACACACTCCCGGTGTGTCAGGTCGCGGTGTGACTCGACCCACCCAACAACGATCCGCCCGTCACGATCTACCATCGTATGCGGCTTAACGCACTCACCAGCATCCCGCCGATTGCTCGGTTTCTGTCACCAACGTACCCGTTTCCGCTATAATCAACCTGTCAAACACAGTGCCAGTAGCAAGCGAAACCGTGGTGTGAGCTAAGAAACAGGGCGGGCGTTGGGCCCACCGGAGTCAGTGGAACTTTGACATGTTAGGTTGGAGCAATCCAGCATGCCGCCAGAATACGATGCGTCGGCTAGACGGCGGGAGGACACCCAAGACGTCCGGGCCAAGGAAAACTCACAGCAAGGCCGAGCGATCACCGGCATCAGCGTCTAACAAGCAACAGAGAGCAACTACCGGTCGGTTTTTGCATCCTCTTGACTGCACGATACCACAGACGGCTATCCAGTGGAAGGCGAACTACATTTATGGGGCACATGCAATATCCACAAAAAAACGACTATGATGACCTACGTGTGTAGCTCGCTGCCCAACACGCTACACCCTAGGCCCGATTCGCACCGACGCGCGTAGGGGTTTTCCTCCCCACTCCAACTGTCCGCAAGAAAGACGCGCGGGAACAAAGTGAATCGCAAACGGCAACCACACCGGGCGCGTGTACACCAGGCGCGTACGCGTCGACTATGAACACATCACGCTCCTGCAGGCCGGCCATGAAACGCCATAGTCTCTCCGTGTGCCCCCAGTCTAGGTCGAAGTTGTCGCACTGGGTCGCCTGGATCATTTGTTCCAAGTTCACGGGCCAAAACAGCGCAGGAAGGGGCGGTAACTTCGTTACTGTTGTTGTTGATGTTATCGTCGTCGTGTTGTCTCGATATCAAAATTCGTTGTTCTGACCCCCATCCAGCACATATTCTCCCCTACTCCTAAAGACAAAGAGACACAGTTCCGCAGTCGTTAACCAACACAAGGGAACAGAAAGAAAACCTCACCAACAAACAAGCAAAGAGCCAAGGATAGAGAATGAGACACCTGAAATGCCGACAAGTGCTATCGTTGTAACCCGAAGCACAGACTTCACAGAGCCACATCTGGGAGAGGCCACATAGGTGCGCGTGACTTTAGCACAAGATGATCCTATTTGTATTGAAGCGCCACAAGGGCTTCACGCGCGCCTGTCTGCTTTGATCTTGACCGCTCGTGGCTCTTCCATGAACACGTTACTGCAGGGCCAAGCGCTCCACGGAATAACAACAGAACCCATCACAAGTTCGCCGGGTCAAGCGCTCTCAGAAGGCGGGCGTCAAAATAACCTTGATCTCATCGTCGCTCGCGCGCCGGCGGGGGCTAGACGGCAAAAAAAAATAGGCAGACACCAAACAATATAGAAGTCTATATATATATGCTTGCCATGTGTGTCTTCTGGGGTGCGCTCTCTGGCGGGGGTTGTTCGCGCACACAGGGTCGTTGTGCATGCGTGGAGCGGCATCGGGTCGTCCCGTCTCGACCAATCGGGTCACCGTGCTATCAGCGGGTGCACAACGCCGACGCTACCCGAGTTCATGCTCTGTATGCGTGTCAAATGGGGCACCTCTCCCGCGTGTGGACCAGCACCACAAAATGAACTTCCTTCCAAGAGGAAACGAAAAACAAACAAAACGGACGGCAGCCTTCCCGTCGCCGCTTTCGACAACTGTAACCTTACGGGACCCTTCCTGCAAATGGGGTAAGCTGAAGCGACTGCGGCGCCACTCTACGTGCCAACGTAGGAGTGGCACGCAGGAGTGCGCACACCGGATAGGGTCGGATGTGTCGCGGCGAAGTCATAACGCCTCTGTGCGATCGGGTTTTCCCTGTTGTAAGGAGAAACAAACAGGAGAGCTGCAGACAAGCACAGGTTCACAACTTGGAAGAACCACGCTATCTTCACACCAAATTATCAAACTATCTCGGAAGGAAGCGGTACGTGCGGGGTCTTGTAGGTTTCCCGCAACACTCCACTTGGAACGACACGCCATCTGCAGACAAAGAAAGGGAGCGCTGCGTCCGTCCACGAGGTTTCCCATAACACTTAACAAGAATTCGCAAGACGTGCGTAATTCCTCACGTTTTCGACGGTGACGTAGCCTCCGGAGGCCCGAACCCCGCCCGAGGGCTCAAGATCTAGTTCCTCCAAAAGAGTCGAGAAATTGGCCGCCGCCGCCTCCGACGTTGTTGTGGACGAAGAGGCGGTGGTGTTGGAGTAGGGTAGCCCTAGAACCTCTTGGCAATTCTGTAGTAAATCGCCGACGCAGTTGAGCGCGATCTGGTGGTGCGCCGACAGACATTCATGCATTCGCCAACGCCATCCCATCGTTGAGTTCGTTTGATGGGAGGGGAGGGGAGGGCTGTGAAACGTCAAATTCGTGTCGTTGTGCCTCTTCCCGGCGGGCTGGGTGGGGGACGTCGCGCTACCCTACTCCGATAACCTCCGAACCAAGCAATTGGCCGCAGCAAACACGACAACATTCACGACCTTGTACATGACCCCCGCTCACCAGGCACTGCACACACTCCTCAGAAATGCCAAAAGAGGTGGAGGTGGTGGTGGTGGTGCTGCTGCTGTAGCTGGAAGCAGCCGCCACCTTCCTGCGGCCATTCCAAGCCGCTGCTACCCCATCGCCAGGGCTGGGTTCCCCTTGGGAGCCGACATTGTCGGCGGCAGAAGAATCCGAATCATTGGCGAACATTTCGTATAAGGGAGTGAAGTCGCAGGCATCACAGACATCGTCAGGGGGCTTGATGGCGCAAGGTGTACAAGGGTGCTCCAGTTGCGTGCCGTCGTAAGTCTTCAGGAAAAAGGCCTACACGCCCGGTTTGTATTGGTCGTTGTTCGTAGTGTCCCGGGTTTGGGTGACCCGCCCCGAAAAGAACGAGAGAGAGGCACGTGGGGAGGGAGGGATAGGGAGAGATAAACAGAGAGAGATCAACAGAGACGACCACGGAGACATAAGAGACAGAGGAAGAGAGGCACGGAGACAGAGGCAGCGAAGAAGCAGACGAGGCAGCAAACATGGAGGGAGTGAGAGAAGTGCTTCCAAACTACAGAAGCGTGCCACGATGGAGAAGGCCTCCGAGAAAAATATGAAACACGTAGGAAACCTGCAGAGGGGAAGAATAACAACGTTTGTTGGGAACCCAAGCGGCTGAACAGCCGGAGACTTTGGTTGGTACGACCGGCTTAACTTACAATCGGAGTGCACTCCAAAGCGAATGGAATAACTGTGTCTGAGAGAGACAAGGAGATCAAGACGGAGAAAAGGAACAAACATCGAGGGTTCTGAACGATCGGCGTGTCGGCGGAGGGATTTCTCGGGTGTATCCCGACGAACCTATGAGATGGCCCTGTTGTCACGGTGGACGGAATCTGCGGGTTCTTGAGGGGCACGCGGTTGACTTTCCTGATTCTTGAAACAGTTGCTGATACTACTCCGCGCCCTACAATTGCAGTCTCAGCCCCCCTCTTCGCAAGACGCCTCTCGTCGCAAGACTTGCAAGAAGGTATGATCTCCACACCCACTCCTATTGTCCAAACAAATCGTACGACCGCCAAGAGTCCAAGCCCAGTGGCTATTTTGCACGTGCTGATGATGGTGCAGCTTGAAGCAATGGCCGGAGTTGAGAAACTTAAACGTCCGGCAACGCAGAGGCAGGCCCCCAGCCCGACGAGCTATGATAGCAAAAATCACCGTGCTTACTATTGCACACGCCATGCCTTGTTTACGATACGAAGACCGCTGCTTTGCGGAAGCGCACAACCTGGCATACACACTTGTCGACCAATAGACAAAATATATACCACCTGAACCCACTGGTGAACATCCGCGAGGGAGGCGACGTCATGGTGGGTCTTGTCCAGATCCGGACCGTACTTAACCTGGTTTGCCGGGGGCAAGCAGGCACCACAGGAGGGAGCAGTCGGCGCGTACAGCAAGGTCACCGAGAGCAAGAAGAAATACTCCCTAGCTTCAACAAAAATCGTAAGAGCACCATCATCGTGCTTACTATGGGCAGACATCTGCACAATGACCCTTCGCACGTACTCTACGAGGTGCATGTCCTCCGTCACCCGTTGCGTTGCGGGAAAAAAAAAAAACGCTTCAAACCATTGCGTCCAAATCAGGGTTCAAAGGGGCGAGACACGCCTTGTTCTTCGTGATTGTAACACAATGGCCACGGCTGCCCCGCCCTCGCCCACCCCCCCACCCCCCCCGGACTCACCCCAGCAACATGATCCCTCAGCGCCTGCTGCACAGAGCGCTGGAAAGACACGTCGACTCCGTAGAAGACCAAGGCGAAGTACAACCCGGAAAACAGCAAGAAGAGGCCCACCCGCCGGAAGCCGCGAGCGTTGTTGTACAAGCCCAATATGTGCTTCTCCGCCTCCCTCGCGGGCAGGCGGCGTAGGCGCTCACGCAGGCGGTAGCCTCGAAACGCAGCCTGGTTTTGTTCGGGGAGGCAGGGGGCGTACTTATAGTCGTGCATGCCGTAGCCGTTAGACCATTGACCTCGCATGCCGACAAAGCCGGGACGGAGGAGTCCGGGTTCTCAACGGACCAGGCTCTCACATCGCCAAGCGCGCAGCGCCGTGAGGTATTCGGCGAGTCGCATGAAGGGTGCGCTGCATCCTGCTAAGGATGTTCGGCATCGTGTGCCTACATCCTTGCGTACGGATGACAGCTGCGTATGACTTCATTTATTTTCTCGTGCTTTCACTTCCAGAGACATTTATAAGCGTTGTGTAACTGCCTCGAGGGTGCTTCACCAATTTAACACAACGTGGCGCGATCATCCCCTTTGCGCGGAGTGAGGGTTCTCGACCCCGCACAACATATTCTACTCGACCACCACTATGGTTACCGCAACAACAAAAAAAACAGATAAAAGAAAGGGGGGGCATCCTGGTTGGCGAGCTCACGAAGTGACCGGCTTTCTTTACAATGCCGTTGCCAAGCGACGAAAACCCCGATGGCGAACACCAAGGGGAGGGCGAGGGGGGGGGTGCGCGAAAACGCACGCCCGCGCCAACCCGCGCTCACGTTTGTGTTCTCGCATTCACTCACGTTTGGTGTCTCCGACCCGAAGCTGCATCAAGACCGGTGTGTAAAAAGGGTGTGGTATAGCAGCACTACAGCATTGTCTTCGAGGAAAATAAATTCCGTTCCGTTCGGAGTTTGGGGGTAAGAAGGTACAACCCGCGCACGGAATTTGATGGGGTCCGCGTACGTCCACAAATATGTACAGTTATATCGATTCAACATTCGCCGAGGAATAGGTTGGTGCATGGGTAACGACGCAATGACGGAAGCATAATCTGGACCAATTTGTGGTGGAGTCATGGACTATGTCTATGCTAAGGGTTGACGAGTGATGAGCAGTGGAGAAGAGGAGTTCAAGTTCGGATGTTACGAAGGTTGATCTTCATGACGAGGCGGCCCACTCGAACTCTGGCAAACGTAGTCACCCATGCCTCCAGTGCTGAAACCTATGTGAGCAGGCGTGTGGCATAATGAACACACATTGCTGCTGTACGAGCGTGTGAAGCCCGCATCGTCGGCCCTTCGTAGATGCGTTCGTACATGTACAGCAGACAGCGGGTTGCGCCGCAACAGCACGAATATTCTCCGAATGGGTAGTCTTTCTGTGTGTGTTTTTGTTTTTCCTTAATTCTCCGTGTGCTGTCATGATGTGCAGTACAGCAGTGTCCCCTTAGTACGAGCTCCAGCTCCCTTGCATGCTTCACGTCGCCTACCTGGGCCAGTATTGCAGCAGTCACTGACGGGTCCAGCTTGTCGAACGTCGGTGCCACGTCTGAGTCGCTGTCGATGCCGCTATTACTGCTACTGTCGCCATGCGGCGCTTGGGCGGAAAGCCGCCCGCTGTTGCTGCTGGTTTGGAGTGCGAGTACGTTGTTTGGATCATGTTTCGACTCTTCTCCCGGGTACTCTTCCTCGTAGGTGAACCAACGCCACATGTCTAGTGCTGCTGGTGCCAATTGCGCACCTATGCAGTTTCTGTTCGCTCTCTCGCCATATCTCCCACCGCCTGTGTGTGTGCGCTCCGTTTCTTCTTCGTTTTCCCCCGCGACCTGCACCCCCCCTTTTCGCCGAATTGTTTTATCAATTTGAGGTACAGAAACATTCTCCACCGCGCGCCCCCCCCCTTGTGGCAGAAGTGTGGCAGCATACCGTAGATAGTGTTGTGTTGTTGAACCCCGAATACCCCGGTTTGGACACAGGGGTTGGGCAGCAGCGGAGAACACAGGGGGGGTGGCTCGGATTGGAAGAGAGAGACGAACACTGCGCGGATATTCATGGGAGAATCGAGGAAGGAGTGGAGTCGGGCAGAGCAGGAAGGTTGCACCTGCCTGTGAAAAATGACACAAACCCACCCTAGTAGCCAGAAAATCCAAACGGCGATTAGTACTACGTACCGTAGGCGAAAAAATAAAAAAGGAGTATGCATATGATATTGTAGGAAAAGGAGGAGAAGGGGCCGGGGCGCGTAGGCTTACTGGGAGAGCAGCACGTGAGATCCGGGCGAGACAGCGGAGAAAACTTGTGCGGATAGCTATCTAGACTGTTCGTACGGGCTATAATGAAAGTCCCGAGTGACCCCCAAGAGGTTCTCACGCACGCAAATAAACGTTTGCGTAAGAGTTTCATTGAATGAGTTCGTGATCTCCTACTTGTGTATCGGGAATGTCCGTGGACAGGTCACGTAGCCACATCCTATCGTCCCCATTTGGGGACGGTGGGGACGTTCAGGCCTCTCGGAGCTGCTTGAAGTGTCCATGGAAACATTCGTGGACGTGCCCACCGATGCCCCACCTGGACTTTCTTGTGCGTGTGCCGGCATGGGTGGCAATAGAGAGGGGGGAGCCCCGAACGCACCGTTACTTTGTCGCATCGCACAAGAAACGCAATATGAATGTGAGTGTGTCTTGGCGTACAATCTTCCAGAAAGATGAGGCCCATAGCGGTTCCACAAACCGAATACAACGAAAAGTCGAACTTTGTAATGTTGAACTTTCATTGCTTGCAAGTCTCCAAGCTTTAGAGTATGCATGCGAGCTTTGATCTATTCGCAGTGCAGGCCTCACCACGGCCCCCAACACACATTCACCGAGGTCGAGCACCAATCCCCTTTGGCCAGGGATATTCGTAGTTTCAAATCAGACGGTGGCAGATCAGACGAGCTCGACGGTACGGGCTGTACTTTCGGGGTCGTTCATCATACGAAAATGCCTCCGAGAAAAAAGCAACAAACTGAACCCGCAATCCACAACTACCACAATATCTCACGCTGACCGCCTAAAAAATGCTTGATATTAATGTGATGCGAATCTTGCGGACGCCGGCGATACAGACACGCAAGGAGCTCGAGACGAACGACACATGTCCTAATCACATAAATGACACGAGGCACAGGTGATAATGGCGCCCTCAAAATGTTCCAAAATTCCCCCCATCATCCCGGGGAACAACCACCACCCAGTGTGAACTCTGATGGCGGTTGTGCGTCTTTGCAAGGCGTCGGGATGAGCCAAACATCGGGAACGTACCCAACACATGAACAAAAACACAATACACGGTAATGGGTTCCCCGCATTCGTAGGCGCCTCATAACAAGCAACTCTCAACAGGACGATAAACAAGACACAAGCAGCAGAGGCTATCACACCACCCACAGCGCCCCCTGCTGTTCCGTAAACGAACAAGGACATACCTACAAAGCGACAGCTTGCGCGATATTCTAAGGATTGAATTGGAGAACGGACGAATAAATATGTACCAAGATACTCCGAGTAAAGCGTAACCTGAGATGAATCGCTGAAAACCTGTACACGCCGAGTCAGCTCCGGGTCCATTTCCTATACCACATAGCCCCGCGCACACCGTGCCGACCGCACGCTTTTGCCACGCACGACACCTTCCAAAAGGACTTCATGCAGAGGTGCCACCCGACGCTAGATGGGCGTTTGATAAGGGTATTCCCGCTGGAGAAGTCCTCGAAAAGTCAACAAGCGGCAACACCTAGCGATGAAATTTACATCCGACCCCCACCCCGTGCGAGAATATCCCGACACGAACCTTCGTGGCGGAAATGCCATAGTCTAGGGACACCCTGCAAAACGAAACGCCCCCCTTACACTATCGGGAGGCTGCGGACGACGACCACCGCCGCAGCATTGGCCGTGACGAGTCACTACCGGACGTTCTCCTGGGGTTCGTTACCGTTACGCCGTCGTTGCCACCACCGGTGCCGTTGCCGTACTCCCCCGAGGACGCCGGCGACTGAAAAACACCTCCTGTGATCCTTTCGTCGCTTCGGAAAACCCACTCGTGGACGATCTTCCTCACCAACCGGTCGGCCACGCGAGCCGGGACCGGAGTGGCTTCGATCAGTGCCTGCATTTCGGTCACCTTGTTAACGCGGATATACGGGCGGGGACGCCATACTCATGATTGGGGTTTGCAGTAGGGAAGGAGGTGGTAGTAGAGCCGTCATTCTTTGGCAGACGTGTTGAATATCCTCGCTTGCTCAGGTAGGTCGGTGGTGGGTGGGATTGCGGCTAGCAGCGGCAGAAAAACAATCGCTGGTAGACGCGCACAAGGGTGCACAACCGCTGCCAAGAGCTGAATTCCACGACTGGTAAACCATAACACGTGCATAGGTTAGCAACTTGGGCTCCGTTCATTGTTCAGACTCACGAACCCCGTCTGAGTCGTCGTTTGGCATTCAGCACAACGGTATATCGCTGTCTCACCCTCCTTTTCTGTATCGGCGTGCGGTCATAAATCGTTCCTACTGGCAAGCTGAGCAAGGAATAACGACCTGCTGGACAGGGCTCGAGTTTCGATTTGCGGTGCAATACCAGCTCCTTTTCCTTGCGCCTTCACCGGATTGGAAGAACAACACCTTTGGAGCAACCATAAATATTTCCTCCGTTGTCGATGGACGCCAGGGTGCGTTTCGGACTTCTTCTCCTGAGGTCGAACAGGCTCGTGCTTCCGCTGACACTGGCGGTGACTGGACTTGAGGGACACCAAAAGCTTGGCAGCAACCACGGTCAGCCGCCTCCTCCTCGAGAACTTGGGTTCGGGGCAGCCGCTATACGTCACGCAAGAACCCCCCCTCCGATCGGTCAGATCATGAGGGACAAAAACACACCAAGCTTGCAATAAAAGCTGCATGCTCGAGGATTGCCCCATCAACTTCGCTGCCGTTAAAAGCAGACACGGCGGATAATGACCTCTTTCAGGGTGTCGTGAATGTCACCTTCGAACAAGGCCCACCCTCGTCTCCCGACAGCGTCAAATGCAACCCACCGTTATGTACCGCGGGCAGTTGAACGACAGCTGCCTTCCCAGTGTCGTCGAGCTCTCTGGCGGCCTCCGGATCATCACCACGGGCCGCCCATCCACCCCGCACACCCCGGTAGAGCCCTGCAGGAACATCTTGAGCGACGGACGCCTAGGCCTGTCCTGGAGTGACGTGTTCCTCCATGCACCCAGACGCCACCTGATGCAGGTGGTAGCCCAGCGTATTCTTGTTTTCAACGAGCACCTGCCGTCGATGGGGAAGAGAGCTCATTCATGGTGCGTACGCTAACGTCGCTTGTACGTGGGCTTTCCAGCCCTCGCGCGGAAATCACCACGTATCTCCAAGTATCTCAACAAGATAAGGGGACGAAAGTGATCCCAACGTGGGCGCCGTAAACATGGCATTACGGCGTGAGGAGGGGGGAACAACTTACAGGTTCTGCATCGGTGTGCGTGAGGGCGTAGCCATGGATAAACACGTCTTCGCAATATATCAAGGGGGGTGTCCTCCCGAACTGCAATCAGGACACGAGGTACTCGGCCACGTAGGGATTTTTCTACTACGAAGTAGTTTGTATTTTCCGTTCGTCACGTTCATTCAACATATTCCGCGCCCACATTTCTTCACACCGTCCTGTCATGCCTCTCTTGCGCAGCATCTCCATTTGGGTAGGAAACCCAGAAGAGACCGTCCGCGTTGAACGTCGAATCATCTGTGGTGGGCTCCACAGGTCATTGCGTCCGTAGAGCTTACGAGCCCGCTGTTTTCCACACTGTTCAACTTCGCACCCGCGGTTGTTCACCTACTCAGGCGAGTGAGGAAATCATAGAACAATCTGCTAGCTTAGCGCTAGCGGTACTACTCTCCTCCCTTTCAAACATCCTGAGGAGGGTGCTCCCGGCGAGGGAAGTTGGCGTCGTTAAAATAAACGAGCAGACACGTATCACACACACGAAACTGAGGTTAGGATCTGCTCCGGTCTGTCGAGCCGTTTGCCGTGAGTGCGGTACCCACCAAGACATGCCGACGAAGGCGATGAATGACTGGAATATGGTGTCCTCGCCGCGCATGCCACTCACAACTCCTCGGTACGCCTTGACAACGACGACAGGGAACGCGAGCGCCGGGGACATTATTCGTGATTCGGCTGAAAGGCCGGGGGATGAGAGTTTACGGCATAACGCATCTTCTCCTTGCTTTTGGGGGGGGGCGGGGGGGGGGTCATAAGGTTTGGCGGAGACCCCATAAGACGAACAATTCCCGGCTTCGAGAGGGCGCGAGCACGTGTTCTTTGAGGCTCATTGCGTTCGGGCGTGCTGTTTTCGGAATAGTCTCCGGCTTAGTCCTCGGGTCCGGGCAGGGCGTCTACATCGTTTACTCCGGTTTTTGCAGTATAGTGCTACTTTGCATGGGCGAGGTCGGACGACTGTTATCGAGACATTGTTTCGGTTCTTCTTGGTACCGCGGAACTCCAATGCTTACCCTCTCGAATACGGAAAAGGACGTCCCGGACCGGCGACAGATGGATCCATCACTTATGACGTCCGAACACTATGCACCATCATTCAGTGCCTCCAAACTGCAATGAAACTTCATGAACCCATGCCACCACAACCTGGCGGTAGTAACACCAGCGGTAGTGTCATCAGCAACCGAAGCCGCAAGTAAGGTCTTTGTCAGCAAATACAACTTGCGAATCACGCGGACGAGCAACTCTTAGCCGACAACTACAACAGAAAAAAATAAATAAATAAAACACCACTACCAATACCAACAACAACAACAACAACAACACAACACAGTACCAACACCAAGCACCCCACCTCGAGAAGGATAGCGATCACCACGTTCAGCAGCAACACCACGCCCAGGACCTGGTACAGCACCACCACCACCGGCCCAACCGTGGGCTGCGCATCCAGGATCTGCGGGTAGAAATTCTCCGACTCCCCGAGGGAGATACGGATCACGCTCCGCCACGCGTCCTCCAGGGTGGAAAACTCTTTCGTGCTGGACCCGACGAGGAGCCATGTGAGGGCGGCAAACGCGAGGATTACCTGGGGAAAGAGAGGGAAAATGAATCAGGTGTCATGCCAGTCGCTTTTTTTGTATTCTCTCATACACGTATAGATATCTTCGCGGGAGGTGTATGCACGTGTAGTTCCTTCCCTCGCCGAAACATTGACATCAGCTGGTGCTTCGGACGGTGAATTTGCGATACGCCCTTCGACATCTGTAAAGGCCGGGTCGTGAACGGCCGACCGCATGCGATTCGAAACTTAATCGTTGTTTGCGCGGTGGACACGGATTGGAGGGAAAAACCTGCTGAGCGTGTTGGTGGCAACAACACCATGCCGGAAACACAAGCAGTGGATTAGTAGTCTTGAGTCCCATGAAACGCTAAGGTACATTTCAATACTGTGTGATTACATTCGTTTGTGTGAACATTTCAAGACAAGCAACGGCTTTCAACAGGAAACACTACCCTGTTTTCACCTCGGTCCACGAAGAAAGTGGGTTAAAACGCGATCACACCGAGAGGCGAACTACTACCACTGACTACTACGTACAACGCACCACCATCGGCGTCGTCAGTACTGCGAACAGCACCAGTACCCCAAGACACCTCTTGTTCGGCAACGGTGTCAGCCTTACCAGGAAAACCACGAACAGGAAATGGTTGAGATGGGTGCTCGCTCTGCTCAGGGTGTCGGTGACGATGCTCATGCGCTTGTGGAACGTGAGCATCTACGTTGAGCGGAGACGCGTGGTGCAGCCAAAAACAGGAAGAAGGACGCGGTTGCCGCAGGCGGAACCAACCATGTCACGTGTCAGAAGGAGGCGACAAACTGATAAAGCAGAGCAGAGCAGAAAATCACGCAACGTTTGAAGTCCAAAATGAGCAATGGAAACAGAAGACTTGCCCTTGAAATACGCCGTCCTCGCACGAAGCGCACCTGACAAGAAATTGCCGTTACCTCCTCAAGATGATCTCTTATTATTTGCCACGAACGTCGACAAGAACAAAGCACGCAGACACCAATGTAGGCACCCAGCTGGCGAAACCACGCACAAAATCTAAAACAACACACACGACCTCCGGAAAGCCCTATCACGGGCGCCGCCATCGTGTGTGACGCTAATTTGTTCTCTCTGACCAGCGTACGTACCTACTTCACTCAAAGAGGCGTTACATAAATTGGACTTTCGTCTTGCCGAATTTTCTCCAAGCACCCGGGCACCGTTGGTTACTTATTCCCTTGTATTTTTCTCCGCTCACACGGTTTCGAGAGCAAATGTTCCAACTGTCCGACCAGTGAATATCGACGTGTTTCACCATATCATTACAAACACGAACACCTTCGGAACAAACTTCGTTTTGGCGTATTTCGGATCGATCTCTTGCCTGGAATATCCAGCGGTAGAGTCCGGCCAAGGTTGTGAGGAGAAAAATGATGTGAAGTGACCACGAGAACAGAGCCGCTTCTTGGAGAGCCAGAATCTGCCCAGTTAGCTGCGTCGATCGTGGTCGTTATATTCGACGTAGCGAGCGGACAAGCAGCAAAACGATAGGATTTGGGGTTCAAGGGCGATCGATACGTCGCTAAGCACAAAAAACGGTTTCGATGCAAGCAAAGCATCGTCGGTTGCACGCGCACTGAATCCTAGCCGGTTAGCTGCCCCACTTGCCAGTTGGAGAGCTGCGGGCAATTCCACGGGCTCTGCCCTTTGTGCTAGTCTTGACACAAAATGCACGCGCAGATAGCATGCACTACCATGTTTCGATGATGACCTACGACCGCCGGTAACCTTCGACCTTGATACTACTTTGCGGATACGGTCAATCAATGGCGGAGGACGGAGGGGATCGATGGCTCAGACATCGTTGAACGAGGCTGCACACTGTACACACCAAGAGAGAGAGCTAAATATGCTCATGGTTTCTGAGAGAACATCGGCCTCTTTCGCCCAAGCACCCCAAAGCTAGCCTGCATTGTTTCCAAAAAAATGAAGCCCACGTCTTGCCGGTGTTAAAAAACTTTGAGACTTCTCAACAGGTTGCTCCATCGAGAATCGCGGCGCCGGTGAACATGCGTTCGAAAAATTCCAACGTACCGCGGCCATGACCGAGTCCTCTTCGGAGGAGGTGCCTTGAAGAACCACATCGAACGCTATGACCTTGCCCAACGATGCCCAGCCCTGCCCGAAGAGGTCATGATGATGTGTGGCGAGGGGTAAAGATGGCAAGGGTATGAAGAAACTCCGGGGTAGACGTAATTCAAAAGTCGAAGAGGCTGATTGAGGGAGGACCCATGGCTATGATGTACGCCACGGGGGGCGCAGCAGCGGTGCCCACGGGATACCATAAACTGCTCTCACCCATGCGGCAAAAAAAAGAGGGTCAGAAGCAAGAGCAAACACGAAGCCAAGTATCACCACAGGCGACAAGAGTGCTGCGCTTTCAAAAACGAAGCAACGGGAGGCCTGCCTGCCTGCCTGCCTGCCTCGCAACTCACCAGCCACATCAGAACGTTGAGGATGATCAGAGTGAAAAACGTGAAGCCGCAGCAGCAGTGACACTTGTTTCCTGCGGACCCAAAACGGAGAGCGCGTAACAGGTGGTTGCAGAGCTTGAGGTGCCTGCGCAAGCCCGGCGGGGGAGCACAGCTTCTAGCGGTCAAATGCCGCAGCGCATGCTGTTCACCACGCGAGGACAACGCTGAATCTGGATAGACAAACAATGCGGTCACGGTACCGTGTTCACCACCTGCGTGCCGTGCAAGTGGGGATAGCTGCATCTGGTTGTGATCTCGTGCGTCGATAGCTTGTAGGCGCGTCAACCGCTGTTGACCCCAACGCGGCCCAACGCCAGGACCGCTGGAGCCCACAACTGACGCAGCTACCGCTGTGCTACAGAACAGAAACCAAAACTCACGCCTGGCCTTGGCATGCCTGGCTCGATACCACTTCTTCGTGTCGTGCCGGATCATGGCCAGTGTCATGCACACGAAGATCAACCCCAGGATCCACCGGATCCTGCGCGTACGCGTACGTACACGGTGCGCGCGAGAGAGAGGGATGGGCGAGAATGGTAGACAGTCGGGGAGAAGGAGAAACAGAAAAGGAGACGGAGAGGGAAACATCTTGGTGTTACCATTCACATGGTAGCGTGGGAAGAGAGACGATGAATGACAGCGAATATGAGTGTTCGACAACGAGCGAGGGAATGGGGGAGAGAATGAGAGTGGCGAATGAAACCGCGCGAGGGGGGGCGCAGATTTTTCACGGCGCGGGTTAGACGGGACGTGGAACACGGGCCACGGTCGGATGTCATCCGTGAACACATGGCAAGACTCAAGCCTCACGAAAGGGTTCACGCAGCCAGTGACAGAAAGCTTCATGTGAGGGACTGAGTGAACCTGCTGCTGCTACTGTTGTTCCCGCTCCCGCTGTCGAAGTTTCTACTACGGCCGCTGCTACTACCCCTGCCTCTACTGTCGAATCTGCGTCTCATGCTGCACCTGTCATTCCCTTGCCCTGCGTTTCCCGTCAGAATGTAAGCCGTCACGAGCTCGTGCGCCTCTACTTCACCCCCTGCAGAGGTACAAAACAACGAGAGACCACAAGACCGAAAAACACAGATGGCGGGGGAGGCTCTGGTGATATTCATGGCCATGGTGATGATACTGTGTTGTGTTTTTGTTGTGTTCGTCGCTGGTGTTTGCTGCTGATGCTGCTGCTGCTGCAGCTGCTGCTGTTGGTATTCGTTGTTGTGTCGTGTTTCCACTTGAACGCTGCTCCGACGTCTGTACGCTTGTGTTCCCCCGAAGACTACTCGCGCGAATACGTCCAATCCACTGCAAAACCGTTCCGTTCAGCCCGGTCAAAAACGAGATCCACATACATAGCGGAAAATATTCTCAACGTTAGCCAACTAAAGGCGAGGAAAACACTCAACCTGGATGCTACAATGGCGCACGAACGAATTGTTTTTCTGCCTGTGTTCTCGAAGACGGGGACAGGATCTCTGGCGTAAGTTAATGGTTCCAAGGGATCTTGTGCCCCAATAGCAGAACAAAATCCGACACACGGGAGCAAACTTGACAGTGCTTCCTGGTAATTTCGGACCATAAAACAGCAAAACTCAACCTACGAACCATACAACTTCGACCAGATCATGCATTGGTGAGTCGTCCACGCCCACGTTGATGCTACGCAAACCACCAACAAAACAAACGTCGGTACTGCTCGACGCGAAACTCGTGAGATAGAACGAAAACCAATTTCGCCATCTTCACTTGCTACAGCACACTACCTCTGTACAACGGTAAAAACGAGAAGTAGCACAACGGTTCAGCAACCAAGAGACACCAACGCCGAACGACGCATCTCCAACGCCCTGCAGTATTGAGGCCCATGTTTATGGTTTCCAAATCTTTATCTTCCTTTCTTTGGACAAACGTTGACTTTTTCGACCTTTGGGCAGTCTGCCTCCCGAACGAATGCGAATCAGCTGGTCGACCTTTGAGAATAGTCACAGCTTTGGCTGAGATGTCTACAGATCGCCTATATGTTTCGCCAGGGCCCACGTTTGATTTTTTCAAGATGCGCAATTTTCACGCAAGATTTTTCCAACACCAGCTTTTGGACAGATCTAGGCTCAAGATTTGCTCCGAGGTGGTCTTTGGGCCGAATCTTGCACATCTTGCTCTGCTGGAAAAAAATCAAACGTGGACCCTGGCGAAACAAATAGGCGGCCTGTATACATCTCAGCCAAAGCTGTGACTATTCTCAAAGGTCGAACAGCTGATTCGCATTCGTTCGGGAGGCAGACTGCCCAAAAGGTCGAAAAAGTAAGCATTTGTCCAAAGAAAGGACAAAGATTTGGAAACCATAAACATGGGTCTGATGAAAAATTAATATTTCCGGCAGCGCTCACTTCGGCGCAGGCGCTCCTGCCAGCGGGTCAAAAAAACACACCTTTGTTGTCAAGACCAAGGCCGTGTGCGATGTTGATAGGGACAGAGACAACAAGAAGCCAACTGTTCAACCGAAACCCGCACCGGGGTGGAAGCCTTGGGCGATGGTGATGGAGCTAGAACGAAGGTAAACCAGAGTTCAGGGGGATTGCACTTTAACCCGATGTTGAGGGAACAAAGGCAAACATTACCGATAACCCCTTTGACAAGAATCCGCTTGCCCAGGATTGAATCTGATCCCGTCGCAAATAATACCAGAACAAAGACACGCCGTACCACACTAACCTGAAACCCGGTTGACCCGATCGAAAGGGTACCCGATATTGATGGAACCATGAGCAAAGATGAGCCACTACCGTAAAACCAAACAACAACGCGAGAAAGTGAACCCGGTTTTGACAGAACGAACCCAAAGATACGGGATACACGAGACAAAGCCCAAAATGCTCGTAGCGCACGTGATCCCGGTTATGACAGTATCAGAGCAAATAGTATCAGAGCAAAGATACCCCATTTTACCAAGAAAAACCAGAATCCACTTAACGCCGTCGAAAATGGGCCAAATTTGACAAGACCAAGAGCAAGCAGACCTCATTACCAGCCTAACCAAATTCCGCTCAACCCGATGGATCTCAACCGATTGATGGGAGCAGAGACAAGCCAAACCACAACCTATATTAATCAAATCCACTTACCGTGATCGAAAGTGAAGCCGATGTTGATGGAGCCGAAGGCCGAGCCCTGGTTCCCATTGTAGGTCACGAGCTGAACATTCACGGAGCGAACCTCATCCCGAGGGATCACGTCCAGATCTTCCATCACCAAGAGGGTGCAGTACCCAAAGTTGAGCTGTCATGGGTCGCGGGAACCATGGTGCGCGTGTGTTCGCAAGTTAGCCGATCGTGCATCAACATGGCAAGGTAAGTGGGAATCGGGGGATATCGCCGGCGGTCGGTATCACATGGCGTTCCATCTCTCGTAGAGGAAAGGCGAGAGGGTGACTCTTTCAGAAAGACACACACAGACAATTCACAGCTTCAATGAGACCCGTGTCAAAGCTCCATGACTGCCTGTGCACGTGGTCGTCGTTCCAAACCTGGGAAGGCTCGATTTCGTCGGCTGGAATGGGCATTGGGCTGGCATCAAAAGACACACCGTCGTGTCTGTTCTAGTCAGCCGAAAAACAACCGCTGTTCATAGCGGCGGCGCGTACCCCACCCACCCCCAGGACCTGTCGAGGCCTCCTGTATGTTCCTACTTGCTTCGGTAGTTTCAAGCACACAGGACCCTATGCAGAGCGTGAAACGAAACAAACGATGTTTGACAGCCAGAGTCGCGAAGGCCGTGGGCGTACCTCACAAGCCGGCATGGGAAAAGAGGCGTCATATTCTCTACCTCAACAGCAGTCTCGGCGACAGCCTGAGATGGTGTTGTTGTTGTCTTTACAGTAAAAAGCCTAAGCCTTCTTCCGTCTGTACCGATTTATCACTTGACGCGGTCGATTCCCGTGGTCACAGGCAAACTTCCCCAAAAAGGTGTACCAAAAACAAATGGGCCTGAAGGCTCCGCAAAACAAACAGGTGAGAGACACTTCTTGCAGAGCCCTCCGCTTCCCTCTACACGCTATGTGAGAAAAAAAATGGAGCTGGAAGTCAGCATTACGGCGGACCGGAGACGTACATCCCCTGGTTCAATCTCGGTGCCGGCGGGGTGTCCTGAGTGCTGCTCACAAACATCAAGGGCATGCTGCCCCGGTATCCACGCAAGAAGTCGGGTCTCCTCTCTACTCGAATGCAGAGGTGGCAACACTTTTCCACCTGCGCCGTTCACTTACCCCAATGTTGAAGCCTCCGGTTTCGATGAGCACAGGGTATCCAGATGCCACTGAGCAAAGCAATGCGTTGGGTAGGCAGGAGGTTTAGCACCCGAGAAAGCATGAATAGCGAAGGGTGCGCCAAAACACCCGAAAAGTCTCCCAGCGGGCAAGTCTTGAGGAACCAAGCAGTAAACGATGAGGCACACCATACTGTAAGCAGGTACTGCTGTAACCCCGATTGGTTGTGCGGTCCGCGAAGAGGCGGTACTACAGTCGTGGCTCCGACATAAGAGGGTGGTGTGACAAAGGCCTCTGACCCTCGTACATCGGAGCCCCCTCTTATCCCGGAATAAGAGGGTACTCGGAACTATCATTATACTGGAGCGGGTCGAGTTCGTCACAACCGACGTCGACCCCACCATATCGGAGCCCCCTCATAAAAGGTACCCTCCTATAACGGAGCCATGACTTTACCTTTATCAGCTGATGACTACAAAGACAAAATAACAGCGAGCGAGCCACCTTTATCACCTGGTGCTTACAAGGAACAGCGTGCAAAGTCACGAACCTCCGCTGTAGACCATTTCCTCGCTCTGTCTGAAGGATGCCCACGGCTGTGGCGGGGAATAGGTGGTCTTGTTCGTACCCTCGTCGGCTAGACATATGTCGTAGTAGTCGCCGGACGAGGACGAAGAGCACTCATCGCTCGAGAGTCGATTTCTGCGGGTGAATGTCACCTACAGTTCGGCAGGGGGGAGGGCACGCAGTGGCTTTAACACGCAGTGGCTATAACAAGACGCGTAACGAGCGGAAGCTCCAGAGCACGCGAAAAGACCGAAGGACAGCAGCGGCCGCCCAGCGCGAAGGTGGTGGCAGCGTACCAAAAATTCTGCCTTCGCATCCCTTTTATTTCCAAAGTGGGGGGGGGGGAATTCGGGAGTATTCGGTCTCTACACGATAAACATAAGACACCAAGAGATGGCATAGCACGACAGCATTCAAAGGTGCAAGAAAATCCGTGCAGCACGTTAGGGTAGCAGCACAGCTGGTCGGAGACAGCAGTTTGAACGAAAAATACACAAAGTTCACGAACGAAAACTTTTCCAATAAGCTCCTGGTATGTCAGGTCGCGGTGCGACTCAACCCACCCAACAACGATCCGCCGGTCAAGATCTATCATCATATGCGGCGCAACGCACTCACCAGCATCCCGCCGATTGCTCGGTTTCTATCACCCGCGTACCCGTTACCGTCGTAATTAACCTGTCGAACAACAGCGTCAGTAGCAAGCGAACGCACGGCATGAGCTAGGAAAGAAGGCGGGCGTTGGGCCCACCGGTCAGTCCTCTTTAAGCCGAAATTTTTTACATGTTAGGTTGGAGCAATCCGGCATGCCGCCAGAAAGAGAAGCGTCGGCTAGACGGCGGGAGGACACCCAAGACGTCCGGGTCAAGGAAAACTCGCAGCAAAGCGGAGCGATCACCGACATCAGTCACCAACAAACAACCGAGAGCAAGCACGATCATTTTTCGCACCCCCTTGACTGAACGATACCACAGACGGCTATGGAAAGCGCGCTGCATTTATGTGGGGGACATGCACCATCCACAAAAAAAAAACAATAATGATGACCCATGTGTGTAGCTTGCGGCCAAACGCGCTACACCCTAGGCCTGGTTCCCGCCCACGCGCGCAAAGGCGTTCCTCCTCGCTCCAACTGCCCGCAAGAAAGACGCGCGGGAACAAAGTGAACCGCAAACGGCAATCAAAACAGGTGCGTGTACACCAGGCGCGTACACGTCGACAATGAACACATGACGCTCCTGCAGGCCGAACCATAAACGGCCGAAGCTCTCCGTGTGCCCCCAGTCTAGATCGAAGTCGTTGCACTGGCTCGCCTGGATCATTTTTGCCAAGTTCACGGGAAAAAACGGGGCAGGAGTAGAGATAGGAACGGCGATATTGTTAATGTTGATGTTGTTATCGTCGTTGTCTTGTCTCGATACCAAACTTCGTTCTTGGCCTCCATTCAGCACCTATTCTCCCCTACTGCGTAGGACGAAGAGACAAATTTCCGAGGTCGTGAAACAACACAAGAGAACAGGCCAAAAAACCTCCCCAGAATAGAAGCAAAGAGCACGAAGACAGACGTGAGACGCTCGAAATGCCGACAAGTACCATCGTTTCACTCCGAAGCGCCGACTTCATAGAGCCACGTCTGGGAGAGGCCACATAATAGGTGCGCGTGACAGTGGCGCAACAAATATCCCATCTGTATTGAAGCGTCACAAGGGCTTCACGCGCCCTTGTCTGGTTTGATCTTGACAGTTCGTGGCTCTTCCACACAGAGGAAGGGAGCGGTGCGTACGGGGTCTAAGAGGTTTCCATAACCCAAACAAGAATTCGCCAACATGCACGTACAGTCGACCCCGCGTTATGGACGCACATGGGTTTTCCCGAAAAAAAGCGTCCTTGAAGCGGGGTTGCGTCCTTAAAATTCAGGGGACGATAGCTCACCATCCCCGGGGCCAATGGAGGCATGCTATACCTCAAACCACGCGTCTTTTAATAAGGAAGGGTGTGGTACGAAAAGCCAGCATCGCCGAGACGACTGACAACCGTTTGTTGACGTCGAACATATTTACAATACTGTAAACGAGATGTACAGCAGTCGGGGACATGTTGAAAGCAACTACAGTACACAAGATTGTACTTGGCCAACTGATGTACTGCTTAGCCGGCAGTGGCAGAAGGAGGAAGGTCCAAATAGACATTTATTTATCTCATTCTTGTGAAACAAAAAAAGAAACGAGCGTATTTCAGCGTCGACCCGACATATACTGTGGTCTAACCGTCCCCGCGGATACCAAAAGCTACCCTGACCGCTTTTCTCTCCACATATCGCGAAGAGTTCCCTGAACCTCCCCCCGCGGCTTGGCTCTAGGGCTCTGTTGAGTTTCATGAGTAGACGGTCTTCGAAAGAAGGTACTGCGTCTGACGGCACTCGCCACCCCTTCCCTTGGCGTACAAATACGATCGAAAGTCCTCCAAGCGAGAGATTACCTCGCCCTTGGTGAGGGACGAGGTTGTGCACGACTTTTTTTTTGGCGGCATCAGATGGACCGCCGGTAGATGGGAGGAATCTATATCTATTCATCCATACCAACACCCAGTTACAGCTGCAGCGGCAGACCGCTCGCTACTTCTGCGTTCTGTGAGTCTTTACTTCTGCACTCACTGTGGTGCGTGGTGCGTGCAAAGGGCGGCCCGCAGGACACAAAAAAGGGGGGTACGCGGCAGAAAAATGGGGGTAACCCATTATCATACATTCTGTCGGGCCCCCTGGTGCTCAGCAAAAAAAAATCCTTAAGCCCTTACGTGACTACAGGCCGATTCAGCTCCGTTCTCAGCTCCGATCACTTTGCGTGCCGAAAGATCGCCGTTGTGCCTCGGCTAAGAGCAAAAAACATACATACATAGAGACCAGCAGGGAGACACAGGCAGCCCACCCCAAAAGCACGCTTATCAGCAATGCGCACAGGACTCACATAGTACAACACTATTCACCCATGCCTAATCTCTCTGACGTGGGGCAGATATCATTTCCAGATCCAATCTACTGCCTACCGGTACTGTATGATTCCAACGCAAAATACCACCGGAGGGTACATACAGTACCCTGAACATGTGATCAACCCGGTGCCGCATCCACGGGGGAGAGCAGAGAAAGCGCACACCGGAGCCGATGCTAACGTACTGCCTCGGTGCTTGATGTTGTTGTGATTGCGGTGCGTGTGGTTCCCAGTATTGGGAGTGAAGGGTGGTTCGTCTGCTGTGTGCAAAATTTCGCTCAAAGGCAAGGGTTTTCGGGACTACAGCTCCGATCACAGCTCCGATCACAGCTCTCTATTTGTAGTACAGAAGAGTAAAATTTATCACGATTTTTAAGCATTTTGTGCGATAGTGGAATGATGGTCTCGATTCTCTGATGAGCGGCCCGTTTTTTTCGTCGATCTGGCGCTTCTGTGAGGCGGTTTCCCGTCAGCGTCTTCGCATCTAGCGCCGCTAGCATATGCGCTTGCCGTATGCTCTGTCCAAGGATGAGGTGGAGAAGGTGTGCCAACAGGTGTTGCTTGCACAGGTACATCCTCTGTGCGGACGGTTGCTGTCGGAGACAGGCATGCACACCTGCTTAGAAACTACTGCTGCTGTACAGTCTATTTCTCTCTGCATAGCTGCTACTGCTGTACAGCAGTAGTACTACTGTACTCCTGTTCGTCACCCGTACATATACCGCGTCCCCATCCCCGTAAGCCCCACACATGGACCCACTGCTGCACCATCCTTGCCGCCGTGATTTATGGGTGTACACGCATGCTTGGAAGATCTTTGACCGCAGAGAGCCACTTGTGGGGAAAAAAACAAAAAAAAATCAAATCAATCCAGTCACGTAAGGGTTAATGCGGGGAGTTTCAATAACGCGAGCGTCCTTAAAGCGGGGTCGACTGTAATTCCTTACGTTTTCGACGGTGACGTAGCCTCCGGAGGCCCGAACCCCTCCCGAGGGCTCAAGATCTAGTTCCTCGAGAAGAGCCGAGAAATTGGCCGCCACTGCCTCCGATGTTGCTGTGGACGAAGAGGCGGTGGTGTTGGAGGAGGGTAGCCCTAGAACCTCTTCGCACTTCTCTAGGAAAACGCCGATGCAGTTGAGCGCGATCTGGTGGTGTGCCGACAGACATTCATGCATTCGCCAACGCCACCCCATCGTTGAGAGCGTTCGTTTGATGGGAGGGGAGGGGAGGGCGGCGAAACGTCAAATTCATGGGGTTGTGCCTCTTCCCGGCGGGCTGGGTAGGGGACGTCGCGATACCCTACTCCGATGACCTCCGAACGAAGCAATTGGCCGCAGCAAACACTACAACATTCACGACCTTGTACATCACCCCCGCTCACCAGGCACTGCACACACTCTTCAGACAGGCCCATGGTGGTGCTGCTGCTGCTGCTGCTGCTGCGATCACCGGAAGCAGTCGCCACCTTCCTGCGGCCGTTCCAAGCCGCTGCTACCGCCTCGCCAGAGCTGGGTTCCCCTTCGGAGCCGACATTATCGGCTGAAGAAGAAACCGAATCGTCGTTGAATATTTCGGATACATGAGTGAAGTCGCAAGCATCACAGACATCGTCCGGGGGCTTGATCGCGCAAGGTGTACAAGGGTGCTCCAGTTGCGTGCCGTCGTAAGTCTTCAAGTAAAAGGCCTACACGCCCGGTTCGTATTGGCCGTTGTTCGTAGTGCCCCGGGTTTGGGTGACCCGCCCCAAAAAGAACGAAAGAGACACGTGGGGGGCGGGGGGGTAGAGAGAGAGATAAACGGAGATATATATACAAAGACGGATACGGAGACATACAGAGACAGAGGAAGAGACGCACGGAGATAGAGACAGCGAAGAACCGGACGAGACAAGCAGAAATGGAGAGAGTGAGAAAAGTACTCCGAAACTACAGAAGCGTGCTACGGTGGATATGGCCTTCGAGAAACACATGAAAGAAGCGGGGAACTTGCTGAGGGGAAGAATAACAACGTTTGTTTGAAACCCAAGCGGCTGAACAGCCGGAGACTTTGGTTGGTACGACCGGCCCAAGACACAATCGGAGTGCACTCCAAAGCGAATGGAATAACTGAGTCTGAGAGAGACAAGGAGAGCAAGGCGGAGAAAATGAAACACCATCGACCGTTCTGAACGATCGGCGTGTCGGCGGAGGGAGTTCTCGGGTGTATCCCGACGAACCTATGAGGTGGCCATATTGTCAGGCTGCTCGGAGTCTGGGGTTTATGAGGGGTTCGCGGTTGCCTTTCGGTTCTTTGAAGCATCGTCCGCTTTTATTCCGCGCCCTACCAAAGCGTTCTCGGCCCCACTCTCCGTCAGATGCGAAAGAAGGCACGAGTTCACGCGTACTAGTGCACAGGAATCGCAACACCGACAAGGTCCAGTGGCCATGCACGTGCTGATGGTGCCTTTTGAAGCAATGGCCGGATATGCCAAAAGCGAACTCAAACGTCCGGCACCCGTGAGGGAAGACGCAAGACAGGACCCAGCCCGACGAGCTACGAAAGCAAGCACCACCGTGATACTTTTGCACACACCATGCCTTGCTCAAGATACGAAGACCGCTGCGCCCAACAACATTGTGGACTGTAGGCTACCTTTGCGAAAGCGCACACAGACTTGTCGGCCGAATGGACGGAACAACCCCCCCCCGCCGTCGTTTGTTGCCTACCTGAATCCAGTCGTGAACATCCCCGAGGGACGCGACGTCATGATGGGTCTTGTCCAGATCCGGACCGTACTTAACCTGGTTCGCCAGGGGCAAGCAGGCACCACAGGAAGGAGCTGTCGGTGCTTAACAGCAAGCTTATCAAGATTCTCGCTTCATAGCTTCCAAGAAAAGCGTACATACGACCACCATCATCGTCCTTGCTCCGCGCACAACGACCCTTCTGGCGTACTCTACGAGGTGCATGTCCTCCGCCAGCCGTTGTGTTGCGGGGAACTAAACCCGGCTACAAACTATTGCAGAAGTTAGCAGCCCGATATAGTGACATGTAGGGGCAAGAGGAGGAGTTGCCACTATTCAGGTCAGTGCCACTACTCGATGTATCGGGTTCATGTACATGTTGAGAGTGTGACCATAGATATTGATGCCACAATCGGCAGTTCCACTATTCAAATTGGCGCTTATTGGGTTGCATAATGCTGTACGTCCAATCAGAGTTTCAAAGGGGCGAGGCACGCCTCTTCGTGAATGTAGTACTTGTACGATTGCCACGGCTGCCCCGCCCTCAACCCCCCCCGCCCAGACTCACCCCGGCAACGTGATCCCTCAGCGCCTGCTGCACAGAGCGCTGGAAAGCCACGTCCACTCCGTAAAAGACCAACGTGAAGTACAGCCCGGAAAACAGCAAGAAGAGGCCCACCCGCCGGAAGCCGCGAGCGTTGTTGTGCAAGCCCAATATGTGCTTCTCCGCCTCCCTCGCGGGCAGGCGGCGTAGGCGCTCACGGAGGCGGTAGCCTCGAAACGCAGCCTGGTTTTTGTTTCGGGGGCAGGGGGGGGATGCGTGAAAATGCACGCACGCGGGCGCTCACGTTTTGTGTTGCCGCATTCATGCGCGTTTGGTGTGGTGCTCCTGCCTCAGACCCGAAGTTGCAGCATTACCTTCGTGGTGGGGTCTCGAAACTAATTCCGTTCCGTTCGGAGTTTGGCGGTGAGAGGGCACACCCACACACGGAACGCGATGGGGTCCGCATACGCCCACAATCATATCGATTCAACATTCGCCGAGGAATAGGTTGGTATATGGGAAGTAACGGGCAATGACGGAAGCAAAAAGTCGGGACCAGTTTGGGGTGGAGTCATAAGCATACATATGGGTTGACGATTGATGACCAACGGAAGATACATACAATGGGTTGACGATTGATGACCAGCGGAAGAGGGGTTTCAAGTCCGGATGTGCAGGAGGTTGATTTTCACGACAAGGCGGCCGGCCCACACGAACTCTGGCAACCACAGTCGCCCATGCCTCCAGTACTGACACTTTTGTAAGCAGGTGTGTGGTATAATGAACACACATGCTACTGTACGGGCGTGTGTAGCCCGCTTCGTCGGCCCTCCCTAGTGCGGTACGTTGTACGCCGCGTTGATGCCAGGGTTACGCCGCAACACGATTATTTGTCCGTCTGTTGCCGGGCCATGATGTACCGTACAGCCGCACAGCAGTGTCCCCATAGTACGAGCTACAGCTCCCATACATGCTTTATGTCGCCTACCTGGGCCAGTATTGCAGCAGTCACTGACGGATCCAGGTTGTCAAACGTCGGTGCCACGTCTGAGTCGCTGTCGGTGCCACCATTACTGCCGTGCGGAGATTTAGCGGAAAGCCGCCCGCTGCTGCTGCTGGTTTGGCGTGCGAGTACATTGTTTGGATCATGTTTCGACTCTTCTCCCGGGTATTCTTCCTCGTAGGTGAACCAACGCCACATGTCTAGTGTTGCTGGTGCCAATTGCGCACCTATGCAGTCTCTGTTCGCTCTCTCGCCTCCAGCTCCACAAATCTCCTCCGCCTGTTGTTGGTCTATGTCCCGCTCTCACTTTCTTCGTTTTCCCCCGCGACCTGTACCCCTATCCCCTCTCTCACTGCATTTTGCTTTTTAGTTGTATATAGGTGGTGCATCTCCACTGCGAGCCCCCTCTTTTGAGTCCCGAAATCCCGGAGATGGCGCAGGCCTTGCCAGCAGCAAGCAGCTCGGGAATCGTTTGTCTCACGCACCCGGCGTGAGTGGGACGAGACTTCGCACATACAAGGGCGGAAAACGAGGGGAGGGGTGGTGTGGGCGACATTTGCAGAACCATCTACGGCCGGGTGGAAAGGAAGGGAGCCCAGAGGACCGACACACGGCAGCTTTGAGTGCGCCTTCTCCAGGGGGGAGATTTAGGGTTCTGCTCTCTTTCGGCGATCCAAGCGGGAGGGGTTCGGAAGCGCGGAGGCGGGGGGGGGGGCTTTACGCAAGCTCGGCGACATGGGTCGCAGTCGCGGTCGCAGCGGGTGAGAGAGAGAAAAAAGTGGAGTCCAACGGTGTTATTTTGGTGCGCCAACTAACGTCGGGTTTCGGTGGGCCCGCACCACAACCGTGCGCACCAGAAATCTTTTCATCTTCGTGTGTGTGTTGTTCTTGCTCACGTCGTGTCTTCCGTTTTTCTACTCCGACCCTTCTTAGATGCATGCAGCAGCCGGTTGACCCCCTCCGTCGGCTGCTCGAAATGCTGGAGACAAGGGGGATGCGGCGAGGGTCACGACCCGCTAAGTCCTTCCTTACCCCACGGCGTTTGAAAGTTTGGTTGGCTGAGTTTGGTCGCGCAACAAACAAGTCACCCCTCTCACACCGGCCCTCCTGTAGTCGTCGGCGCTTTTCCGGCTGTTCATGTGTTGTGGGGACTGTTGAGCCATTACCTCCACCACAGCACCAGAAGTAGGCTCGGGGGTGGCACCTCTAGAGTGCCCACCAGCACACGGGTCAGCGATCATCGCGCCCCTCGCGGTGAAGGAAGGCGGGCTCTCGACAAAAACGAAAAAAGTCTTGCAAGGAATGACGAGGCTCTTGTTGTCTCGTGCGTCTGTGCAACTGCCGGGCTTTTCGGTCGTTGTGTGCTGGCCCTTGAGATCCTTCCAGCAGTAAGATGAACCGAACGAATCAGATAAAAAACATGTTCTTTCTCGTCTGCCAGGAAGTATTTTTCATGGAGAAGCCACTCCATGACTTGATTGTGGTACTTGTTTGTGCGTGTGAAAGGGGGTAGAAAACAATTCTGGGTCGCTTTGATGGTATCTGCGTTTCCTTTCTCTGTTTAGGTGCGCAATGATCTATCTTGCTTCGACAAGCGGTAGTAAATAACATCCTTTGCTCTTGCTACCATCTTTAGTATCATTTGGGCGGAACTACAACAACTGGTTGATTGTTCATTGTGTGCTACTTTTGCCGCACCAGCCGCCTTGCATCGCATTCCAAAGACAGGCTGGCATCGTACCTTACGATACACGGACAAGATCGGCAAGCTTGTGTCGCACATAAATAGTGAATCAATGAAAATCGAAGAAACGAAGCGGCCTTTGCGTGCACTCCCAACTCTGCACGCTCCGCCAGAACCAAAATTGAAGTTATAAGTGGTTCCCACATCCCTAGCCCCAAAAGTTGTTATCTCTTGCCTTGTCTGGAAAGTTCTCAACAAGTTGTTGTTATCTCATACCTTGTCTGGAAAGAGCGAAAAAAGGAGCCGCGCAGCCATATACACACGCACGTTTGGCGTTTATCTTCCCCTTAGTTGGTTGGAATGGCGCACGGTTGGTTGGTTTCCCGGTGACCTTTCGGCCAAGCATGCTGTATGTGGCCGTTTCTTTTTCTTTTTCCGCTCTTGTCCCTCTGCTACTCACTGACTCTTGGATTTGAACCCCGACTCCCCAGGTTTTGGTTCTCTCTCTTTATCCGGGGGGTGCAATTGTTCTTTATTGCTGGCTCCTCTCTCTGCTCTTTTTTTTTTGTGGGGGTCTCGTTGGCGCCTGTGATTTTCGAAAAACCACCGCACACCCAAATTATTTCCACGCAGCAGCTGAAGAAGCTGAGTTTGCCCCATACACACAAATTCTGACCAGAACAAACACACCCAAAATGCAGGTGTGCGCCGCTCAGTCTGGGAGTACAGTACTTCTATAATTTTCAGAGCACCGAGCAAAGTTCCTACTTTCGAAGTATAACATTGATGAGGGGTTGGGATCGGACAACGAAAGTTCGAGGTGGTGGTTTTTTGTAGTTAACGAGGCAGGGAGTGCGGGGGGTGGGGGGGGGTGCATCCAGGTGCGTCATGAATATGTGGTGGTGTCTCAGGACCTTGAGAAACTGCGCTGCAGTCGGTCAGCTTATATCGTTTGAAGACGCGTGGACGGCCCGTCCGCATGCACGGCGGTATCTGCTACAAGTGCTTCTACAAATGCACGGCTGTACCTCCTGTAAGTATGGAGATTTATTTGTGGGTGCTCGCGAACAACGGCAAAGTGGCAAGTAGTGTCAACCTCGTTTCTCCACTGCTGCTGCAAGTGTTTTTTGTCATGCAATGGGGCACGTTTTGGTACGGAGGCCTCGCCTTTTGGGCGGCCCGAGACTTGTTTTTGCTTGCGGGGGCTGCTGCTCCTCCTGAACGGTACGCAAAGTTGGCTTGCGCTCAGAACAATGTGGTATTGTAGAAGGTAAAAGCGACGACATTTGGCAGGAGGGTCCATGCGTCACTGCTACTACCATTAACTGTCTCCCCAAACGCTTACGCATGGTTGTCGCTGCTCTAGGCTTGTCCCAGGCCGAACCCCTTGCCCGTGAGCAGTGGCCAAGCCGTCGCTCCCCGCACAGAAACAATAGAGTAGTAATTTACTGCTGTCTTCATGTTCGGGTAGTGAATTGTCGGCAAGGCGGGAGTCACACGAGTGTACCGTTACGACAGCTGCAGCGATGAGGTGTCTATTCTGTTTGTTTCTTGGGCAGTTCCCCTCGGTATTGTCCATCTGCACACGCACCCTTGGAGCAGCCTCGTCTCTCTCGCCCTCTTCTCTCTCTCTCTCTCTCTCTCTCTTGATGCTGTTTATTCTCCTCGCTCCCATACAACAGAGCCAGAGCTTCAACCAGCACGCGAGTTCACTCGTCCTGTTTTTCATGTCGAAGTTGACACGGGTGGAGGGACGGTGGGGGGGGAGTGTTCTATTTTGGCGGAATCAGCACGGAGCCCCCGAAGAACGAAAATCGAAGTTCACAAAAGTTGGGGCTGTAATTAATCTCCGAAATACCTCTCTCTTGGCTCCTGCAGACTAACGCTCTCTTGCTTGTTTGGGATAGACCAGCAATTGCACTCACGACAACTTCTGTCTCACTTCCGATGCTCCTACCGCTGCCTTTTGATTGGTCAAAAGGTATCAGTTCCCCCGCTCCCTTCAAAGCTCAAATTTGAACGCCTTCGTCTCTGTAATCTTTTGCATTCACGAGTTTGTGCTTGGATTTGCACTGCCCTACGTAACCTTGCTTCGGGCGTGAGAGGACCTACCACAGCGGGGCCACTTGAGCTGTAGCGGGTCTTTGCCGTTGGGGTTTTAAATGCGATGTGGGTATCATTCCTCTCATGTTTTGCTCCGTCGTGGTGCATGGGTACAGTAAATAGTGAGACCCCCTTTTCTTTCGCCGCACATACCTTTGCGTGGATTTTATGCATTTCAAGAGACATTCACCGACAATCCCGCGACCTTGTACAACCGGCCGATTGCCCACGCACAACTATGGTGTACCGCAGCTTGCTGATATGGACGAAAGTGACAGAGGAGAGCGCACCAGCAAGCTGTTCATACAGCAATTCTACCGGCAGTTCAGAAAAGTATGCGTGAACGTCACAGAAAGACCCCCCGTGTGAGATTTTTTTTACGCCACAGCGTTTTTCATACACTCGCGGAAAAGGCTATCGGTCCAACTTCGCCCCAAGGGTGCCCTTCGACACATAGTATATTCCCGCACAACCAAGTATCCCACATACACCCGCCTCTTGAGACATATATACACCATAAATGAGTAACATGAAGTTGACAGCTTAAAGTTGTTTGTTTGTTTGTTTTTCTTCACATTAAACTCGTGTCAGTTGCTAATCCCAAAATCTAGCAAAGACTCGGCCCGTGGTCACAAAAATGCTAAAGCCATCTAAAATAAAGTAGGGACCACCCGTTCATTCGACATGTATGTCCATTTTTTTTTTTTCCTCGGGGTATTTTTTGTTTCGCCGCATTTTCGGGCTCACGGCCGACATCCACCGCGGTGTCTGCGCTAGGTTTGTACGCACGGTATTGTTGTGTGCGTTGCTACGGGCGATGGCCGGAAGATATTCCTGTCCCAAAAACGGCGTTGCGGTGGTGGTGAGTAGCGCACCTACCGGGTCGCGACACACCGGCAGTGCCTGCTGTAGTACGAGTCATAGGACGAGTGTTGTATTTTTTCGGCACGGCACCTGTCGGGAGTTTGTTGGTACCGGGCGTGTGTTCTATGGATAGAGATGGATTCGTTGTGCCTATTGTAGGTAAAAAAAAAAAAGAAAAAAAGCGAGAAGTGCATGCGCTTGGGCGGGCGGATGTTGGAGTAGCTCCAGACGATCGAACAAACGAGACCTGGTGTTTGTGGGGCGGGAACTAAGTGAAACAACAGCAGTGGTGGCACGTAGGGACGAAATTGCTCGGAAGTTTCAGCGGGGCAACTGGACAAGCAGGGGCAGTGGCGTTTGCAGCAGCAGCAGCAGCAGCAGCAGTTAAGTCCACACTTTTAGGCTGTTGCTGCTGCTGCTGCTGCTGCTGCTCTGCTGCTGCTCCCGTCAGGCGACAAGATTTAGGTGTGACAGATTGCTGCGTTGTAGTCCTGTTTGGGGCGAGAAGCACGAGGGCCCAGGAGATAGCGGTTGGTATGCTCAACACGTGGGGTTCTACAACGCGTAATGAAACTCCAGAGCCGCGGGCAAACGTGCACGAATTGATTGATCGGAGTACCGGATATCCGAACTGGCATCGTGGGTTTTCGTACCCACAACGAGTTGTCGCACCCACCCCAGCACGTAAGCAAGGAAACCCGTGATTTGATGAATCGATCGCACCCCTCCGTGGCCCTAGTCGCACTTTCGACGGCGGTATTCAATATGCGTCACTGCGGGCGGCTGCACGTGCCTTGCCTCTGTTGTTTCTTCATGCGCGTATCATCACAGAGGGACTACCAGTTTGAGATAGTTCTCAAGGGTTAATTTTTTTCATGAGTGAGGGTACGACCACAACCGCGTCGCCTTTTCCCGTCCTTTATTCCCATGTTGGAGCAGTCAGTGGAGTTGGGTATTCGCACGTGCCCGCCCCCCCACCCCTTTTTTTTTTGTCGTTTTAAACCAAAGGCCCTCCCCCCCCGCCGTCCCCGCCGCCGTGTTCTGCACGCACCACCCCAATTTTCGTGGACTTACGGGAAAAAATAAATAAATAAATAAATAAATAAAGGCACCTGCCGGCACCTGTGGCATCGGTGCTGCAGTCCCCGAAGGACACCCCGGTGGAGTTCTTCCAGGACGGGAACCGGCCGCTGTCGGCGCGCATGAGCGACAAGCCCGGGGGCGCCTTCTCAGGACTACGCCCGACGTCCTTCTTGATCGCCAGGGGCCCCGCGCGCTCCCGCGTGTCCTCCATCGAGGAGGAGGACAGGCGGGCGGGGAACCAGCCGCTCGTGTCGCAGTCGTACTCCGGCGGGTTCGGGAGGTCGGAGAGCTCTCTCGGGGCCGGCGGCGCGATATCCTCGCGCAGGATAGCCGGCAGCCGGTCGGCGGACCGCGACGGGATGGTCGGCGGCGGAGGCAGCCGCGGGCGCAGCGGCAGGGGGGAGGACAACTTCCGGCGCGCCGGCTTGGGCGCCGGCGTCGGCCGCAAGAGCAGGAGCCGCAGCGGCAGCAGCAGGGGTAGCAGGGGCGGGGGCGGCGGCGGGAGCGGGGCGGCGAGCACGAGCAGCGGCGGGTCGAGCGCCGTCGTGGGCGACAGCAGCAACGGCACCCGCCGCGTGCGCGGAAGGGCGATGGCGGCGGGGGTAAGAGTCGGAAGGCGAAGGGCAGCAGCAAAAGCGGGCGTACTCGTGGCGGCGGGGGCGGCGGCGGCGGCGGCGCGGGCGCCGGGTTCGGTAGTGATGACGACGACGACGACGACGATGACGATGACGCCGAAGACGGCACCGTTGCCGCGGCGCCCGCCCCGGCGAACCGGACGCACGCCATGTACCGGCACCAGGGCGAGAGCGTCGGCACCGCGCTGCACGCGATCGATCGCGTCCAGACCATCTCGGCGGCCAAGAGCCAGCGGCCCGGGGCCGCCGCCGCCGCCGCCGCCGGCCGGCTGCCCGGCGCCAGCGCGGCAACGGCGATCGGTACCCGCCGGTCGTCGCACACTGGGGCCGTCGGCGTCGGCCGCAAGGGCGGCAGCGGACCCATCTCGAACGGCGGCGTCGGGAGTGCGCTGGTAAGCGCGGAGGCTGCCGCGAACGGGAACGCCGCCGTCGCCGCCAGCGCCGGGACGGCGCTCCGCCGGCGCGTCTCCACCGGCCAGCTGAACAACATGGCCTCCACGGGGTCGAACTTCGAGTCCATGACGACCATTGGCACCCCCAGCGGCTCCGCCGGCGGGGTGAACTCGATGTCGAGGGGGCTGGCGCGCGCGGTGGGTCTGCGTTCCGGCAACGATGGTCTCGGCCGTGCAAGGTACAGCGGTGGCTGACTTTTTTTTTTTTTTTTGGTGGAGTTGACGGCACAGGGAAACCGTGGTTGGTGTGTATTTGTCGTGTGTTGTCGACTTTTCCTTGAGGCTGCTGGTGCTCTGTGGTTGAGGGAGGTTTTCCCAGAAGCCGTACGTTTACACGCGCGCGAGCGATCACTGTTGTTGTGGGCTGACGTTATATGCCACCCTTGCGCCATTTTTACCGCCGCTCTCGTCCCCACGGCCTTCCTCTCTCGCTGGACACAGCGCGTCTTCGAACAACCTGGCCGCTGCCAACGGCGTCGTCGGCGCGATCGCCGAGAAGCGGGAGGCGCCGACCGACCTCCGGTCCGCGATCGAGGCCGGAGACGTCCTGGCCGTGGGCGCCATGGTGCGGACCATGAGCCAGGAGGAGGCGGAGGTTGAGCTCGTCGCCCAAGACCGGTGAGGAGAAGATTGTTGCGTTTTTTTTGTTTTTTTTTTGCTGTCATGTGCTGCATCGCTGCCAATGGGAGACTGCCGTATTCTTCTTCTTGGACGAGACCTAATCTCACCGCTATTTAGCGTAGTGCGTTGTCTGCGTGCTGACCTAGAATGGGAGAACGGGAACGGGAGGGTGCTAGTGGCAAATAGTCGTAGAAGTGGGTCGCGGGAGGCGTTCATCGTTGCAGTCACGAGAGAGACACGAGGTTTCGTATCGTCTGTCATCGCCCGCTGGGTGTTGGTCATGTTTGTACAGACCTCTCTCTGTTTTGTCTGACAGGTGCCTGGCTGACAGAGGCTCTTTTGATCCCCGTTTCTTTTTTTGTTGTTGCCAGGGAGCAAGGTACGCCGTTGATGCAGGCCGCGGCAGGCAAGAATGTCCAGACGTACACGGCCGTGATGGACGCGATCAGGAGTCGTCTCGGGGTGGAGGCGCTGGTGAGTCAGGGTGGTGGGTAGTGATGGTTCGCTGGTGCTGGTGCTGCTGGTGCTGCTGCAACGGCTTCTTTTTTTGTTGCCAGGCGTTGGAAAGTTCAGTGGTAGTTGTGGCATGCTTCATAGCTGCTGCTTGGTGGTGGGTAGTGGTGGTGCTGCGGCTCTTTCGTTTGTTCATCTGGGGTTGGGATGTTCGGGTGCGGGTAGTCGCGGTAAGCTGCTGCTGCTGCTACGGCTCCTTTGTTTGATTGCCAGGCGTTGGAAACTCCGGTGGCGGGTAGTGGTGATAGGATGAGCGGCTACTGAGCTGCTGTTGCTACGGGCGTGATGTTTTTGCCATCCTTGCCGACAAGACGATACGCCCGCGAGTGGGTACTGTCTTTTTAGCCGGGTGGCAAAGAGTATGGCATGCGCCGACGTCGTTCTGTGCCTCCCTGCCATGTTTCGTGCGTTTTATGGAACACTGCTGTCTGCGGCGTCGCTTCCATTCGTTAAACTTTCCACCAATCATTTGAGAAAAAAAAAAATCGTGCCACGGCTCGGTGAAAAACATCCTCCCCCCGATAAAACACCAATCATTTGAGAAAAAAAAAATCGTGCCACGGCTCGGTGAAAAACATCCTCCCCCCGATAAAGTCACCGCCGTGTTCTTTATTGCTGTTTCTGTTTGCTCTTCGTGACGTGTACCTTCTTCTTTTTGTCTTGTGTGTGTTGTCGTTTTCAGATGAACGAGCTCCAGGCACGAGACCTCCGCGCGTGGTGCCCCTTGATGCACGCCGCCTGGAGCGGGAGCGCAGAGGTTTTCCGTGCGGTGGTTGTCGCCATCGAGGACAACCTGGGAAGAGATCAGGTGCGTAAAGCCGGGCAAACCTGTCGGCGCTAACTATAAGCGGCCGTGTACAGGGACCACGACCACTTCTGTATATCATTTTTGTTGTTGGCCTGTTGGGGTTTTCGTCTGTTACAACATTAGCAGCGCTCCACCTGGTATTGATAGTGTTGTACGCGAATGTAACATGCCATCTGTTATGACGAAGGTTTCCGTCTAGGTTATGTATTTATACGCTAAACATGATTGCATCTGTTGCAACAATGTGAGCTTTTCCAGCCTGTCGTTTGTGTACGCGTATGATGACTTCATCTGTTGCAACAATGGCAGGTTTCTTGCCTCCCAGCCGTTTGTATACGCGTGTATCATGCCACCATCCATGTGTTGCAACAATGACAGCTCCCCACGCTGTCGTTCGTGTACGCGTATGATGTTTGTTCACGTGTTCCCGCAATGGCCGCTCGCTTCCCACCCAGTCGTTCGTGTAAGCCCTTGTTTATTTCGTGACATTACACCTCTGTTGTTGTGTTTTGGTTCGTATTCTGGCCGTTACAGGTGGCGGAACAACTGGCGGCGACGGCTAAGTACGGCTGGACCCCGCTCCACGCGGCGGCCCGCGGAAACGCCGAGGCTATGGGCGCCGTCATGACCGCCCTCGTCAACTACATGGAGGCCGACGAGGTGTGTACAATATGTGACAGGGCGGGACAGGAAAGAAAACAAGACAGAAGAACGCCAACTACCAGTCAGTACATACAGTACCACCACTTCTGAAAGGACACAGCACAGAAAAAAAGCACAACAGGAAAACGCTTGCTACCAGCGTATGGAACCATATATTTTAACGGAATTTCACAGGGCGGGGCATATACGCAAACCAGAAAAGGATCTGCGCCCATCTCCTCTGGAAGTTAGTTTCGCCCCCCATCCTGCTGTGCGTGCTGCTATCGTATTGCGGCTTGCCGCCTCCCGCCTTCATTTTCGCGCCTGAAGAAAGGCGTGTCATGATCTCGCCACTTTACGTGCCCCCCCCCCACCCCCCACCCGGGCTGATTCTCTGATCCGGCTCTGACCTTGTGTGCGATCCACCTCCATCAGACACTGACGTTCAACCCCATCAAACATTCTCACCCCACCCCGCCCTCTGGATACGTCGTTTTGCCTTCGCAGCTGAAGGAGCAGCTATCTCAGTCTCACGATAAGGACTCTGACCTGCCGACGCCTCTCATGTTCGCGGCGGCCTCTAGCTCCCTCGACTCGCGCAGCCTTAACCCCCTCCTGTCGGAGTTGCTCGGGTGCATGTGCGACATCGACGAAGCCCGTCGGCAAAGGTGGGGTGCCCTCTTTGTTGGGTTGTTGCTGGTTGTGATTGATGGCCGTCGTGATGGTGATGTCGTCGTTGATGTTGATGTGTTGGTGCTGATTGTGATGATCGCCGTGATGATGTTGATGTGTTGTTGCTGATTGTGATGATCGCCGTGATGATGTGGATGTGTTGTTGCTGATTGTGATGATCGCCGTGACGATGTTGATGTGTTGTTGCTGATTGTGATGATCGCCGTGATGATGTGGATGTGTTGTTGCTGATTGTGATGATCGCCGTGATGATGTGGATGTGTTGTTGCTGATTGTGAAGGCAGTCGTGGATGTTGATGTGTTGTTGCTGATGTTGATGGTGAAGGAGCGCGCCGGCACGGCAAAGGACAGGCGTACAGAGGTGCCGTTATTGTGTTTTGCTGTTGCTATTGATGTTGTTAGTGACAGTGGTGATGATGTTGGCTTGTTGTTGATCGAGTGGTTTGTAGTGATATTGTTGTACTTGTTGATCATGATTACGTTGGTGTCGATTATGGTGATGACGACCATGATTTTTTATCCTGGAACCTCTGAAGCTCGTTTAGATTGTAAACTGGCGTTCTTTTTTTTTTTTTCTCATGGGTTAGAAGGTCAAAAAACAACATCCCCACCGATGAAACCATGCAAGGACAAACCGAATACAAGCACAAAAACGCTTCCCTCTTCCAATGCAAAACCGATCACACACTCCCCTTCTCCTCTCGGTGAAACCCCCGCGATGCTTTGTTCTGCGCAGGACCGCTGTTGACTACGCCGCCGCCTACGGGCGTTTGGACACGCTGAGCTGCCTGATGGCGTACGGGTGCGAAATAAGTGACCAGACGGTGACGACCCTGCTCTCGGGAGATCTGGCGGTGGGGGCGGCGGCGTTCAACCGGTGCATCTGGAAGGGCATCACCACAGCGAGGTTTGTACTGTAGTCGTGCCTGGGACGGGATCATTGGCCGCCTCGAAACACAAAAAGGCATGGCGAACCGCTGCGTACGTACCCGGGTGTTGTGCTTCGATGCAAACATACAGCATCGTGTTGCTGACGTCTCAGACGGGAACCGTGCGGCACTGCGGCAGGACAGGAAATAACCAGCGTCGTTGATTGGCGCGCCCAACGTACACTCTTCGCGAAGACGAGCGCTCTCGAAAGGCTCGTCATCTGGCTCACCGCTCCTTTCTTCTTCACACCCATGTGTCCTTCCTCCCTCCCGTTCAATGACTACCCCCCGCCGCCGCCGCCGCCGCCGCCGCCCCCGCCCCCGCCCCCGCCTCCGCCTGTCATTTTGTTCCCTGTTGTGTGTTGTCTCTGGATTCGCTTTGCATTTCCTACTTTCATTCAGGAATCCGCTCATTCCCGCCCACAACGTGCTGAGGGCGGTGAGCCGCGCGGCGGACAGGGATGCCAAGCACCGGCAGTTCTTGCTTCGCATGCAGGTTTGGCTCTAGGATGGAGGATTTGGATCGAACCGGATGGGGTTGGAATCATGCTGGAATCGAATGAGAGACCACGGCCACCGTGACCTACCTCCTTGAGATGCCTTTGAGACCGGAGTAGCGGGTCATTTCACCCTCGAAATCGGCGTTTGTTGGACATGCCACGCCACCCCGATAAATTTGTTTTTTTTGTATCCCGCTGTGTCGGTCCGAATGCCCAGCGGTCCTCTTTTGGTACCCCCAATATAGCACAGCAGTTGTGTAGTATCCACCCGGCCTCCTCCGCACTCAGCGTAAGTCTGATTGATATGGATCTCGTGCAACAACACAATGAATGCGCCCTCCCCATGTTTCGTCCTTTCGAGGACGCGTGGTCAATGGTCTAACAACTTACACACTGCTGTTGAGTACACCGCCCCCTTCACTCTCTCTCATATTTTCCCACAACACCCCCCCCCCACAACACCCCACAACACCCCCCCCCCCCGAACCACAACAGTCCGACGTCGACGAGCTGGTGCAGGAGATGCTCCAGCAGCTGCCGCCCAACATGGCCGGCTTCGCGGAGAACTACATGGACACCGGGCAAGGCTTCGAGGCCGTGCAGTGGCTGCTCGAGCCCGAGATGGGGGGCAAGCGCATCAGTTCCTTCACGGGGCCCCTGGCCAGGGCGCTGGAGACCCGTCGCCTGGAGTTCTTCTCGACGAACATCGTGCTCGCCTACGTGTCGCGAAAGTTTTCCAGGGGCCTGCCCGGCGTGTTCAGCGGCGCGAGCTGGAAGATGCCCGACATGCACAACAGGGACACCAGGAGGTTTGTGCTCGGGCTGCCGTACGGGGCCGCACCGGACAACGTGGTCGGCGCCGTGAGGATGAGGCTTTGCGTCCCCTTCGAGCTGATCCAGGTGCGGGTGTGGTGGTGGTTTGTGCTGCCCCTTTTTGGGGGCGGCTGGAAGGCATCTCTTTCTTGGCAACACAGATGATGTTACCAAAGTTTCACGTTGTTTGGTTTTTGACGAGGGTTTGAGGGTGAATGTGTCCTTTTATGTACACTGAGCGCGTAGCCGCTGTCGGGCGGGTGAAATATCTTGCCTCTGCACAGCAGGTACATAGAATACGCAAATTGTGTGTTTGAATTTTCATTATGTCATGTTAAATGTCCGCCACTTTTTCGTTTCAACGCACGTTGTTTAACGTTTTGTTGCGTCGGTTTTTGGGACAATTATTGTTGTCGCTGGTTGCATCTCGAGCAGGGAAGCGCCTTGCGAAGGACGTCGCTGATTCCGGGGCTGCAGTTCAACTGCGTTGGTCTGGCGAGCCGGCCGGACGCTTTCTACGAGGTTCCGGCGGTCCGGATGGCCTGCGATGTTGTTACCTACCTGTGAGCATCTTGGCGTTGGATGTTGCTGGTGCCTTGTTGTTGTTGTTGGCCTAACATCCTTCAGTGTTGCTCTGGCTGGTTTGTCTGTCCCTTGATTCTGTCTTGTGGTCGTGATATTTGTTTTGGGTCAGTTTGACGATGCGTCACCATGTTCTTGTTGTGTGTTTTTGGCGGGGTGCTGCCCTGGCGAGTTTGTTGCTGGCGGGGGGGCTCATTTAGGTCGGCGTTACGATGGCGGTGGTAGTGGTGATATTGTGGGTTCTATGTTACTGCCTACCACGCTGTCAGCGCCGCGTTTTTAAGTCGGAGGACGTACCAACCGGCGTCACAAAGGATATTATCGTGTGTCGTTTTTTTTTTCTGTGCCCTGCCTTGGATGCTTGCCCGTTGGCTGACGTCCTTCGTGTTGTATTGGTTCCGAAAGTCAACTCTCTCTCTCTCTCTCTCTCTCTCTCTCTCTCTCTCTCTCTTACGAACTATTCCTTTCTCTGTGCTGCGCGTGTCCGGACCAGGTCCATGCTTATCCTCTTCTGCTTCGTGGTAAAGCTGGAGTCACCCACGAAAATACCCGCCAAGGAGGTGGCGTTCTACGTCTACATGTTGGTGAGGGGGTTACACGTTGAGAGAGGCGGGGGAGCGATGCTTTCGATGCCTTGCTTACTTTCACACCGATCGTCGATGGGTACCTACCACGTTTGCGATATTCACTCAAAAGGTCAATTTCGTAGCGCTTTTGTTGTTGTCCTATGTACTATGTTTTGTTTTACAACCACCTTCCTTCTTCTTTGCATGTTCTCGTCTACAAGCCGATTGTTGACCGATCCGCGGTGGGTGCCCTTTCGACAGATGAACGGCTGCTTTTAACTTTTTTTTATCTTCCTGCATATTTGTTTTCACCTTCGTTCGGTCTGTCGTTGCGATGCTCTTGTCTACAAGCCGTCAATCGTATCCTTCGTGAGTCAATCCCGCATCATTGGCCGAAGAAATGATCACTTCGGCTACACCCGCGGTTTCTCTTTTCAAGAATGTAGCTTCATCGTCTGAATCACTTCTGCACCCCGCACCTCGCTAACGGATAGGGAAACATGGTGAACGAGCTGGGAGAGGCTCGGTACGTGCGGAAGCTGAGGGGGCAGTCTGAGCTGTGGAACGTGGTCGAGGCCGTGCTTCTCGGACTTGTCTGCGCGGCGTTCACCTTCCGGATGGTGGCCTTCGGAAGCGACGTGATTCAGGTGCGGGGGGGGGGGGGGGGGGTTCTCCATGGGTCTACTGGCCCGCCCCCCAAAGAA